AAGGCATGGAGCATCTGTACAACATGAAGTGCAAGAATGTGGTGCCCCTCTATGACCTGCTGCTGGAGATGCTGGATGCCCACCGCCTGCACACCCCAACCAGCCGGGGGGGTGCCCCCATGGAGGAGATGCCCCAGAGCCAGCTGGCTACCACAGGCTCGGCTTCACATTCTTTGCAAACATATTATATCACTGAAGAGGCAGAGGGTTTCCCCACCACAATCTGAGAGCTCCCTGCTTCCCCCGAGGTTCTGAGAATCTCTGCACATTTTACCCACGTCATGCTTCACTGTTGCAGAATTCTGCTCCCGCACACACTCCAGCATGCATCCACCACTATGGCTTTCTGCTATGAGTGGCCGTTTGTTTGCTTGCTCAGTTCTTAGTGGCACGCTTTCTTTTGGGAACAGCCAAAGGGATTCCAGGGCTAAATTCTCTGTAAGAGCTCTGTATCACTAGCTTTTCATGATTGAACTCAGTCAATAACCTGGGGCTCAGATGGGCATTTAAAGCTACTTGTTGAGACCCAGGCCTGGAGAGTGGACATTTCACCTCTGTGAAGCACTTTTTAGAGAATCTAAGAATAATCCACAGGGAAGAATTGAAAGTGGCTGCTTTAATTGCTGACTTGGAGAAAGGTAGGTCAAGGGCCCATTATAGCTTCCTCTTGTATTCCTATAGTAGTATGTCATTTTATTAAAGTAATACCTTAAAGCTTTTGCACTGATGCATGGCTGCCCCAGCATATTCGGTGATTGTCTCTTCATTTTCCCAAGGGGAATATAAGATGCACACAGGGAAGGAGGGTCCTCCAATTGTCAAATAAACCTGTCAGCTTAATATAGCTGCACCTTCAGATTTGCAGAATGTTCTCCCTCTGGCCTTTGGGAGCTAATTCTTGGTTCCCAGGGACCAATATAAAACTGCAGGTTGATCCCAGTTAAGTCACCTCCACATCTACCAGTTTCCCTGTGAGAGTTAAATTCTTGCTATTTGTTTTTGTTTCATTTTATAAAAGAAAGCTCTTTCCCACAAGGACTTGCAGTAAATCGACTTCAGGACCTATTCTGGTGTCGTCTCACGCTTACCAGCAGAGGGCGCTTACATGGCTCTTCCTGGTTTGCAACGAGCACGGAAGGTGGCCTAAGTCACGTGTAGTGTCCAGCCTGCGACTAAGGGCGGTTTCAATGCGTGGGCAACTGGTGACACTGTTAGCCTTTGGGCACTGGTCTTAAGTCATATATGTGTATGATTAGCACTGGTACCAGAGAACAAGGAGGGAAGCAGGTCAGAAACTCGATAAAACTGCAAGGTCAGGGTCCAGCAAAGAGGAGGCTCCCTGCTCAGGTTGCCTAGAGCCTTGGTCAGACTACTCATGCCTGTGGTTCAGAGCTTATCCAAAAGTCAGGGCTTGGCTTTGAGGCAAAAAAAATTCCCCCAGACCTCATTTCATGGAACTTCTCAAGCCAGGAGAGCAACATGAGAATTGGGTCACGGGGATCATTTGACCTCTAGGCTAAACAAGACAGGCTCACTCCAGGCACAGGGCAGCCTTCTCGGGAGGGCCGGGCCTTCCACCTCTAAAGCAATGATGGGTTATTTCCTCTTTTCAGCTAAAAGGAGTTTGGTTGGTTTCTTCTGGTGACCTCAGTATCTGTCAGTCATCTGAATCCCACTGAGAGGAGGTGTGTTAGCCAACAACCCAGCTAAGTTTCTAGGGCTTCTCTTGGAATATTTCAAAAAGCAGATTTCCTTCATCACTGATACCCAGTAAGAAGGGGTCACCGAAGGACTGGGAACCTGGGAGGGCCAAAAACGAAACAAAACTCTTCATGTATGTGCATCTAAATTTTGGGGCAGTTTTATGTATCTGCTGTTAAGAATGTGTTTAGAACATAATTTTGTTTTTGTTTTTGTTTAAGAATCACCTTATAAAATATAATATATATTTTTTGAAATTGCAATGCTTGTTTATCAGACAATTGAATGTAATTCCGTTCTGGATTTAATTTTACTGGGTTAACACACAAAACCAACAACAAATACTTAGTTTTTTTGTATAGCTACCTTGTCACGTATGCAGTCAATGATGCCTAAAGCCTGGTGATTATTCATTTAAATGAAGATCACATTTCATATCAACTTTTATATCCACAGTAGACAAAATAGCACTAATCCAGATGCCTATTGTTGGATACTGAATGATAGACAATCTTATGTAGCAGAGATTATGCCTGAAAAGGAAAATAATTCAAGGCAGCTAATTTTGCTTTACCAAAATATCAGTAGTAATATTTTTGGACAGTACCTAATGGGTCAGTGGGTTCTTTTTAATGTTTATACTTAGATTTTCTTTTATAAAAATAAAAACAAACAAAAAAAATTCTAGGACTATAGATGATGTAATACCAGCTAAATCCAAACAATAATACAGTGGAGGGTTTTACATTATTCATCTAATGTGTTCATATTCATGTTAAGAAACTACTACATTTGAAATGGGCAGGGAGTACCAGATGGTTGGAATGGTAGCCCAGGGGTCTCAAAGAATTTTAGAAATCTCTTTGTTTTTCTTGTTTTAAGTGCCACTAATGGACAGCTAACACTTTGCGGCTTACATGGCTGTTGGGTGTAGAAACATGCTGTATTCCCTGTGCCCCAACCCCACTCCCACTCTGAGGCAATTTACAGTTTGAAAAACATGATCAACCTGGGGCTTTAAGGTAGGGTGGGGAAGTGGTTCAGAAATTTGTAGAGTGGGGAATACAGAAATGAGAGTCATGGAAGTATTTTGAGACAGTTCAATACTTGCACTTGGAGTATGCTACTGACACCCTGCAAGCCACAAATAACTAGCGTTCTCTGACAGCCATTGCTATGATGGCAGCTTGAGTTCTAGGGAAGAACAAATGCCATTGGCAGTACAGTCCAGGGAATAGTTAGTAGTCTGTGTTCCTTTTAGCCATTGCCTAGCTCCAGGATTGCAGTAATGACTGTAATTCTGTCATACAACAGTCAGAAAGGCTAGTTCATCCAAAGAGAAGACACTATGTAGGGTGCAAGAATCCAGTCCTTAAGGAAGTGCAGTCATTTATTAGAGCTCCCTATTAACTGCAAGTCTGTTTAATCATGCCATATCCCATGCCTTTTGGGGAGCTGAACAAATAAGGGACTTAATTGAGATCACATTAAAGTGTTCTTGCATTAAAACCTGTTACACTGAAACGGCCATTGATTTAGAGTACCCTAAATTCCAAACACCTTGCTATTCATAATTCCCATCTCTCGGATGGATTGTGGATACTGGGATTGAGCAGTAGGACCATAGCAACGTCTAATCTTCACAGGCAAATCTGCTGCAGCAAACTAGTTATTTGAAAGGCAGATAGAGTCACACAGCAGTTTGTGAGCAACCATTATTCTCTTGGTGCAGGTCTTGGTAGGATGACCCAGATTACACTGCACTCTTACTAGGTGAACCCCTGAAAACTTACTTCAATGAGAGCAAATGAATTTAACTGTGGTCCTAAATATACATCTTTTCATTAGTGTGATACCTCTGTTTTCTAACTGCATTTCCTTTCCATTTGGATTAAAGCAAGTGTGGCCTCTTTCTAAGTAATTTAAAATTGTTTTCTAAGCAACTGCTGCCTCTATTACAGCACTTCAATTTTGCACTGTCTTTCAGAGATTGAAGAAAAATTTCTAGTATTTTTTTTTTGCATCCAAATGTGCCTGAACTTTTTAACTGTGTCAATGCTGCCATGTTCCACACCCATCTTCAGTGTGTTTTGTACAGAGCTGTGCACCTTGCAAATAGCACACAGCCCCGTGAGCAGGTGCCTGAGTCACGGACCCCTTTGAATTCACAAAGAGGTCATTGGTCATGGAGACTTGAATTAATAAATGACATTATGACAGTTTATATTCACAGTTGATAAACAATGCTTTTTGTGCACTACATATTCTCCAGTGTGAAGCTCTTGTGTTACGGGAAAAGGCTCACGTGCCAAAGTGTGTTTGGATTAATATGCCCTTTTGCTTATGCCTACTATTACTGATGTGACTCTGCTTTGCTTTAATGAAACACATTTGTAAACCTCTTTTGCACCTCTAAAAAGTAAAGAGTCCAGTGGGATGCTCAAGCACCTGTAAACAATTTTCTCAACCTATTTGATGTTCAAATAAAAAAATAAATGAAAGACAATGGGTTTGTTTTCTGTTAAGTTCTCTTCTTGCTGATGGTTCGCCAGTGGCTGCCTAAGATCAAGGTGATGAAATGTATGTGTAGAGAACAGGCAATCCTGAAGATCAGTCTGACCCCAAGCTCCCTCCCCCTCTTATTGCCTCCCCCTTTCCCTGGGGAAAGGGTAAGTATGTGGACATTGGAGTCAGTTCCTGGCTCCAGTTCTGGCCTCACTTCTTGGCTGCACCACATACAAGTTTTATGATCATCGGGAATGGATTTTGCAGAGCCTCAGCTTCTTCAACAAAATGGTAATAGTAACACCTGATTACACAGTGGTTGTGAGGATTATATGAAGTGCTCATTAAAATAATAGTTTTTTTGTAATGCCTACGCCCCCTTCCCAGTGAGCAAGAAGAAAGCTTGAGAGTAGTTATTTATGAATGAATGAGTAAATGGATAAATGAATGAATGATCTAAAACTTATGTAATTTGTTCGTAAGTCTCTCCCGCATCAAGAAGGTAAAGCAGGAAGGACTGGTTCACCCCATCCCACTGCACCCCAGGTTTCCATCGTTTTTTGAGCTACCCGAACATTCCCTTTCCTCCCCATTTTTTCTGTGATTTAACTAATGAACTGGGGTGGAGGGATATCTGGACTTGGTGAGAGGCAATATAATATGCACACGGGCTCTGCAGCTAGATGACTCAGTTTGAATCCTCATCCTCTCACTGTGTGACCTTGGCAAGCTCATTTCCCTGTGCCTCAGTTTCTTCATCTGTGAAGTTAGATAATAGTACCACTTGCCTGGAAAGCTTGCTGTGACGACCAGGTGGGTTAATCCATGGAAAGCATTGAAGGGCGGTGGCTACACTGCTTCTCCCTTTCTAAATCGTCTCCAACCACATGTTTGCACTGAACTGAGGGTTTTCACGCCATTGGAGTCATTTTGCTTCCAAGAGGCCCCATACTTTTCTTGTTCTGTTGTCCCTTGGCAAGTTCTTCAATTCCAGTTTTCCTTGGCTTCCTTATGTCCAAAATGGAAATAAAACCCACCCCATTGGGCTATTTTGAGGATTAAAAGAGAAAAAATATCCCAATGTCCTGGTAAACAACCTGCACACAGTAAGCTCTTGATGCATATTAGCTATCATTATGGTAATTGTTACTACCTTCTGTGAGCATATATGTTTACATTTAATGGAATCATCAACAGGTTTGAATTACATTCACCATTTTGCATTTTGTTATTGTTTTGTACACGTCTCCTGTCCTCATTCCTCTGTTCCTTGGTATGGGCCCCTCCTTTTATTTTTTTTTGGTTAAATAACTATCTTAGGGTGCCATTTTAATTTCCATCTTCATTTTTTTATGCTATTTTAAAATTATTTTCTTAGTGGTTGCTCTTACAACATGCATGTTAACCTATCAAGTCTATGTCACATTAATACTAACTTAAATATGATCAAATAAAAACGTCGTCACTCCAGTATGGCTTCGTTCTCTCCTCTTTCCTTGTATTATTATTATCTATGCTTTTTAAAAATACATATATACATAAAAAATATATACATATATTCTAAACCCAACAATAAAATGTTACACTTATTGGCTTATACAACTTTGTATGTTTTAGAGACATTAAGAAATGAGAAAAAATACACTTATACATTTTTTAATTAACCTTTTCAATATTAATCTACATATTTACTATTTTCAGCATTCTTCACTGCTCCCTGTAGATTTGTTACTGTCTGGAGTCATATTCTTTTCACCTGAAGGAATTCCTATGGGGTTTCTTGTAGGGCAAGTCCATGAGCAATGCCTTCTCTCTTTGTTTACCTGGTAATGTCTTTCACCTTCCTTTTTGAAGAGTGAATTTTAGTGTGAGTTTTCTGTATGTGGAATTCTTGTTTGCAGTTTTATTTCCCTTTCAGCATGTTGACTATGTCATCCCGCCACTTTTTGGCCTCCACTGCTTCAATCTTTTGGATATTCAGCTTTTCCTTGTTATTTTCAAGATTTTCTCTTTGTTTTAGTTGAACATGACTATGACATAGACCTTTAGGGGTAGATCTTTTTGTATATATCTTACTTAGGATTCGCTGAGCTTCTTGGATGTGTAGATTGATGTGTTTTATCAGGTATGGGACATTTTCAGCCATTATTTCTTCAAGTCTTTTTTCTCTGTGACTCCTTTTTCCTCTGTGACAGTCATTATGTACATGTTGGTACATTTGATGTTGTCCCACAAGTTTCTGAGGCTCTCTTCATTTTTCTTTCATCCTCTTTTCCTCTCTGTTCTTCAAATTAGGTAATGTCTATTCCCCTATCTTCAAGAGAACTTTTTTTTCCCCATCTGCCATCTTGAATCTGAGGTCAAATTCTTCTGGGGAATTTTTCCGTTTAGTTAGTCCATTTCAGCTCCAGCATAAAAATTGAGTTTGCTTTTTTCTCATAACTCCTATCTCTTATTGAGAACCCCTATTTGTTGATTTGCTGTTGTCATACTTCAATTCTTTAAATTTGGTTTCTGTTAGATATCCTAACACATTTATAGTAGCTGTTTGAATCCTTTATTGGCTAAATCCAACATCTGGGGAGACATACAAATGGTCTCTTTTGACATCTTTTATTCCTGAGTATAGATCACATTTTCCTGTTTCTTTGCCTAGCTCATAATTTCTCATGAAAACTGAATGTTTTAGAGAATATCCTGTAGCAGCCCTGGATTTCAGTCCCACCCCCACCCAAGGTGGTTTTCTGTTGTTGTTTGTGTCCTTGTTAGTAACTCATCTGGGTTCAATGTGAAGTGTGTTATCTCCTACAGTGTTTAGCCTCTGATGGTTCTACTAGGTTCTTAAATTCTTTTCTTGTTTTGGCTTTTAAGCATGCCTCCCCTGGAGCTGCCCCAACGTCTGCATAGCTTCATGGTTATCCAGTGACTGGACCAAGATTGCCCCACACCTGGAGCCAGTAAGGCTTCTATCTTTGCCTGATGCATCTGTGTGTGGACAGAGGAGAACATTTGATTTTTTTTTTTTGAGAGGGCATCTCTCATATTTATTGATCAAATGGTTTTTAACAACAATAAAATTCAGTATAGGGGGGTCAATGCTCAATGTACAATCATTAATCCATCTCAAGTCTAATTCTCGTCAGTCTCCAATCTTCTGAAGCATAACGAACAAGTTCTTACATGGTGAACGAATTCTTACATAGTGAATAAATTCTTACATGGTGAACAGTACAAGGGCATTCATCACAGAAACTTTCGGTTTTGATCATGCAATATGACCTATAAACCATCAGGTCAAATATGAATATTCATTTGATTTTTGTACTTGATTTATATGTTGATCCCACATTTCTCCTATTATTATTATTATTTTTATTTTTAATAAAATGCTGAAGTGGTAGGTAGATGCAAGATAAAGGTAGAAAACATAGTTTAGTGCTGTAAGAAGGCAAATGTAGATGATCAGATGATCAGGTGTGTGCCTATGGACTAAGTATTAATCCAGGCTAGACAAGGGCAGCAAGACATCCACGGATGCAGAAGATTTCTCTCAAAGCCAGGGGGGGTGAGGTTCTGAGCCTCACCTCTGTTGATCCCCAAATTCTCACCTGATGGCCCCCCTGCGACTGTGCCTGTCTTAGGTTAGAACATTTGATTTTTCAGGCTGTTTTCAGGTCTGACCCAGCATTTTGCCTGCAAGGTCAGAGAGGAGTATGGGGGTAGGTAGCCTGGGCACTTTCTGGTCCCTGCCACTCACATACACTGCCTCAGCCAGGAACACTCTTGCTACGGACATGACCACAACCTCAGGCTGGCAGAGCTTTGCTTTCCATGCCCATCCACCAAATCAAGTAAGGCACCTGAGACTGTGACCCAGCAGCAAAGCTGTCGGCCCTGAGCACCTGTCCTGCTCTGGTGCTGAGCAAACTTGGGGGCGGGGGCATGCGTGGGGATCAGCCCCAGGCAGGAATGCCACAGATTTGCACTATCCTTGTCCAAAGTTCAGCAGGTTTGCAAGCATATTGTTGTGTGCGTTTGGTCACTTTGTGGAGTGTGGAGACTTTTTTTTTTTTTTTTGTCAATTTTGTTCAGGTTTATAGTTTTTTGGAGTCAGAATTTACCGATCTTGCTCAGTTGTAGCTGGCAGTACTCTTCTCCCTACATCCTGTCCGTCCCTTATTATCTTTCCCCGAATACCAAAAAACAGAGTTTTCTGAGTAGGCCATGTATTATTTCCAGTGCTCAGCAAGCTTTTGGGAGAATATTTAGCAATCTGTGGGACTGTTAAATCTGTCCACTGGAGTGTCAGTGCTGGAATACCTGCAGGGGTCACTTCATCCTGATTCACTGGCTCCAGATCACATTCTCCAATATGATATATTCTTAAGCCTTTAGGGATATTTAAATTCAGAATTGCCATTTTTAGATTTGCTTCTCCAAAATGCAGAATGTAAGCCTTGGGCATCAAATTTTCATAACTTTTGTTCTTTGAACTATGTGCATTAAAAAGCTAGTTGTAAGTTCACATTCAGTGGTTGGTTAAATTGCAATATTTGTAACTTCCACCAAAAGAGTAGAGCTAAGGCCAGGGGAGAGAGGTTCATTCAAAGTAGACATGCTTTCTAATGCAACTACCTTTTCTAATGGATCTGCTATCATATAGGATACCTTTTGAAGGTATGGGAGAACTGGATAGCCTCTAAGCCAAAATGTTTAAGAGGTGCTCTCAGTAGATGGAATGATCTTTGGTTTTCCCTTCAGACCTGAGTCACAACACATGCATATTCATTCACACAAAAGTACCATTTATTTGGGTGCCTTACTATGCCAGGTAGTAGCCCAACACAAAATTTTGTAGATGACCTACAGTATAAGCGTGGAGATATTATTAATCTTACCTTACATCTGATGAGATTGAGGATTCACACAGTTAAGAAGGTTCCCAGTCTCAGAAATCTCGTGACGGGCAGACATCAGATCAGTTCTGCCAACTGTAAAGGTGATTGGCACTTCTTAAGCAGGTTCGAGCTTCTGGGGGGGTTAAAGTCACCAAGTATAGACAAAATTTTGCTCAAGACCAGAGAAAGTATTCATTTTGTATATAAATGAACTTTCACATTTAATGAGTAGGAAGAAATATTCACATGACTTTTGAAGGCAAAATGTGCCTCTTCAAAGAAATATGGCGCTAAGGGCAGAGTGCTTAAAGCTATGCCCCTAGAATTCTGGAGAAATGTGTCTCCCTCTCTTACCAGGGGGTGGCCCTCCAGTGGGAAAGCTGTGTTTGTGCCATCATCCCTGCCACTTGGGCCAGTATTCCTGGCTTCTGAGGTCATACCAGGACCCCTTCCTGCCCCTAGTTTTTGACAGGAGCAGCCAGTGGGCCGAGGAGTGATTTTCCTTTGTAGCTCGGCACTAGGAAGGGCTCCATTTCTAGCTGAGACTTGAGACCTTGAAGTCTGAGGCAGTGGCACTCTTCCTCTCAGAAAAGCCTGTTTTGCAGGGAACGGTACCTGGGCCAGGCTCCTGGCCTCCCCTTGCCACAATTCTAGCTCCTACTCAGGACCCAGGAACTGCACAATGGCCTACAGCCAAGGCACATGGTATCTGTGTAACTGACAAACTAGTAGTAGTTTTCATGCTAAGCAGATGAAAGTGTAAAAAAAAAAAATTGAAGCAAGGAAGCATTTGGGCAAATGTTTTCAAAAATGATTTGAAACTGGGTGGGGAAGCCTCAGTGGCTAGGTCAGCCAGGAGCAGAGGAAGGGACTCTGAGGTGGTCAACTCTGGACCCTCTTGCAAGAGCCAGTCACCCAGAAGGCTGCCATAGAGATAGCACTCTGGGTGCCTTTCCAGGCTCAGGGCACTGCCGGGCCTTTTTATAGCACTCAACCTGTCATCAAATGCCTTTTCATTGAGAAATCAATAATTGTGGGAAAGGCCAATGAAAGGTTTGTGAGCTGGCAAACATTTTTGCGGGCTGATTGGATTCTCGTGTTCACTCCAGGCTCAATGGAGTTTAAGCTACAAAGACTCCTGGGTATTTCCACATTTACAACCAGAAAGAGCGTATGTCGATACCTAGGGCCCCAGACCACAGGCTGGAGGGTCTGGAGGGGAGGGGGCAGTCAGCAGGAGGCGATCCTGGCAGTGCCTCTGGGCGCTGCTGTGCACGTCCCCCAGTGCCTTGAGGACCGCAGGTTCACACAGGTTTCATGGACTGAACCACAGCATGGGAAGCATTGTCTTCAAAACGAAGGGAAGGGCTGAAGGTGCCAAACGGCAGCTGCTGGATGGCCACTGATAATGGATTAAAATGAGGGCAAATAACCTATTCAGTCATTTTTGAATTTATAATGAAATGAATAAGTATTTTAATTACTTGGCAATGTTGGCAGCAACTGCTTGTAGCCCAGAATCACGAGAACCTAGGTCCGGGAAGCAGGAAAGCTGGGACCCCAAAAGGAACCTAAGAGGCCTCCAGGCTTCTTCCCATGGGAAAAACTGTTAGCTTTTGACCCACTTTTAAGAAAAATACAATGGAAAACTACATCAGAGAGCTTAAAGCAATATGGAGATATTTAAAATCTATTTTCCACGGCTGCATAGAGGCAGAAAGATAAAAGAGATACCCTCTCAAATTGCCTGTGTCCCCTTTCCAGGAAAGTGTCCTGACAAGTGAGTCCTCCTCTCCGCCAGTCCCTGCCCCTCTGCGACACGGGACACTCAAGCTCTCAGCAGCGTTTCCCAAAAGGCCACCGAGAGAAGAAACTGCTAATGGAGCCCCCAGAGAAATGGCCCCAGGACCTCACTGAGCCGAAAGGACCCCAAACCCTGAACAATTATAAGGCTCATCACCTGCTAAACTATGTTACCATCCCGGTGCCAAACTTCCCTTTCCCGCTGAGCTCTCCGAGACCCCACATGCATGCTCTTTGCCAATGGGGAGCACCCCGCCCTGAGAAGAGGGCTCTGCAGAGGGGCCAGAATCAGGCCTTCCTGACCCAGCCCTGTGGCTGAGGGAACAGCGAGGACCCCTGACCTGGCAGGGGGCCCCCACCAGGACAAGGACTATGCGGTCTCTGAGAGGCCAAAGGATTTGTGCCTATTCTGAGAGGGGATGCCATTTCCATTTGGCAGGTGAATATTAAAACCTGCCCCCAATCTGCCCCCAACACAACCCAGCAAAAAAGCTTGGGGAAAGAAAGAAGAAGCTCTTAATGGATGTCACAGGAGTGTTTTCAGGGAAGAGCCTCTGTGGCGGCCACACTGCGCTGTGGGAGGGTTGAGCACGTGCTAAGCTGCCCCAGGGAGAGGTGTTGTCAGGAAAAGGGAGTCTGGAAGACCCTGGGGTCACACCTGGCCCAGCCTGGCCACTAACGGGCTTGTCTTGGGCAATGCTACCTCAAGGGTTAGCAAACTGTTTCTGTAAAGGGCCACAGAGGAAGTGCTTACTTAATGCAGCCTGCAAACATTTTCTGTTTTTGCTTTATTATTGTAGAACAATAATAAAATGCTCAGAGTAATTGTCCCTCATACTTGCCTTGCACTGTACAGCACTTATATTGACTTCTTTAATCCTCCTAAGAACCTCATACACTAAGTACTATTATTATCCCATTTTGCAGAGGAGAAAACCAAGGAACAGAAAGGTTAAGTAACTTGGTCAGGCTACACAGCTAGGAAGTGGCCAAGCTGAGGGTTGAGCCCAGGTATTTTGGCTCCAAAGTGTCTGCCCTAGTTAAAGCTTCTTTAATAGGACCTGGACAAAAAGGACCTCATACACATATAGATGCTCCTTTCCCTATCAGGTTACCAGTCTGATCAGCGGACTTCATGGGGGAGGGGTGGGATGGAGGATCTAAGCCCCACCCAGCTTGAATGGGCAGAATCTTGAGGGAGGTTGTTGAGCAGGAGCAGATTAAAGAAAAAAGTATAGCATGGGAATCTGTGGCGCCTCTACCAGGAAGGAAGGGCTCTGGGATAAGCTTCCTGGGACTTCCAGTGGCTGTTAGTGTCCCAGCACCCCATCATTTCCGGTGACCAGGTTGTCCCCAATGGGCTGATTGCACCTGAGGCAAGGTGACTGACTGCTGGGGGAGGGTGGTAGTTTAGAAAGCTGAGGTTTTTCTTGAACAAATGAGTCTCATTCGGAGGACCTTTCTGCCAGGAAGGCTCTTCTCCCAGGATTCACCAAGTCCCCTTGTCAGGGAGCCTTCTCATCTGAAATCGGGGGCTTGCATGACCTCTGTTGTTCTCATGACCTTGAATCAATAGTAAATTCAGGATGGCCACCTAGACCCGAGTCGGCCGTTAGGATTCTACTACTTTTAATAACTGACCTGTCACCATTTGTTTTGGGCATACCAAAATTTTTTTCTTTAAATTAAAAAGCAAATCAAATACCTCCTCACACAAGAAGTGCCTTTTTCTTTATCTTTTAAAATTATCGTGATTATTACAGCAATTTGGAGTGCAGAAACAAATCATGCTCCTTGTCACAATTAAAGTGTTTAAAATTGTTTCTCCCTGTTATGAGTCTATTCACAATATTAAGCCTTGGATTTCAAGTACATCTCTCTTTCTCCTTGCCTTATACAAGTAATATTGGTCTTCTTTCTACAAAAATGGGGGCCTGTTATAGAAACTCTTCTGTATTTTCTTTTTAAGAATATATAGTAGACATCTTTTCCATTAAATAAATACAGATTTTCATTTTTTAAAAATAGGTGCTATATAGTAAATACTAAACACAAGCCCCATGATGCCTGACATTAGGTTGCTAGAAGCTAGTGATAACAGGAGGTATTCTTGTCTTGTTCCTGACTAAGTATTGCAACAGTAACTTGTCTATTTACTTAGAAATTTACCAAGTAACTTGTCTATTTACTTGGAAAATGACAAAGTAGTTCCTTACTTCCCATCAACTACAAAAATCATTCCAGATAGATTATAGACCTACTAGAAGAAAATAGAAGCAAACATTGGCATAATCTTGGAGTGGAAAAGCTCTTCTTAATATATAGATGACCAGAACTTATAAAGGAAAAAGAACCTGTTGGATTTGATGCTTCAAAAAAGTAAAACTTTCTGTATGACTAGAGGAACTATATAAAGTCAAGACAAATGAGACACAGGGTCAATTTTTCTAATATACAAAGAGTTCTTTGGAGAGAGTATAAGAAAGTAAAAAAAAAAAGAAAAAAGAAAAGAAAAACAAAGAATAAAACAGACTTCACACAGAAGTAATACAAATGGAACAATTATCACATAAACTGGTGATAAAAATATGAATTTTAAGAAACAGCTAGCTAATGTTGCCCTCAATTGGGCAATATTTTAGAAAACAGATAAAATCTTCTCCAGTACTTCGGACCTTGTCTGCACATGGGAATCACCCAGAGAGCTTCAAACAAATATTGATCCCCAGAGAGCATGATTTAATTGGTTTGGGGTGAGGCCTAAGGTTCTACATATTTTAAAGTTCTCTGAGAGATTCTAATGGACAGAATTTGGACATTAACAACTTGGAAATAAGCCCCATCGTTTGGAAACCACCGCTCTAGATTTAGGGAGGGTCCAAGGAAAACAGTTCTTTTCTCCACTGTGGGTAGGATTGTAAATCATTACAACTTTTCAGAAAATAAGCAGGCAGAATTTGTTAAAATTTAGAATGTACATACCTTTTGGATGCAGTTATTCCATCTTGAACAAAGCACTTAGGGAAACAGAAGCAGCACCACAGAGATACGCATGCATATATGTTTGAGAGCAAAAACCTGGAAGGAAACAACGGTTGAAGATACTGAGATGTCCAATGCAGGGAGGATGAATACATGTGCACTGAGATGTCTGTTGGAATAGTAAGTGGGAAATGCAAGCCACAGAATAATCAAAATAAATCGAGTTTTTAAAAACGTAAGTGTGTGCTGTTTGAGTAAGAAAATCAAAAGGCCTAGAAAAGTAACATCAAATTGGGAGATGATTGAGAGATAGATATGAAACTATTTAATTTTTCTCCTTAAAATGAAAGTCTGTAACTCATTGAATTTTTTAAACAATTAGCCTTTAAAATAGATACATATTAAAAAGAGAAAGAAATGGGGTCCTAAGATGTATTAGAAGTTGTAACAAAGTAACCTAATATACTCTGCTAGTGTATTAAGTTGCAGTACATATTTATATTATATATATATATTTACTTGTTGTCTACCTTATATTTATATATCTATTATTATTATAATCAGTTATGCTATGCACTGCAGCAATTAAAACAGCAATGCAAAGACAGAACAATAGCACAGGGTAGAGTTCAGAATATAAATCAAGATTTATATGGAAAACTTTTTTATATCATTGAACGAAGCTGATATTAGAAGTCAGTGGGGAGAGATGGGGAAATTGGTTGCACCACTTGCCACTGTGGCCAGCCGGGGAGAGTGAAATCCCAAGCTGGGGAAATTCGGGGCAGGAGGTGGCCTGGGAACCCAGTCCTTGAGCCAAAAGTGGTGCATTCCTAACAAGTTTCCAGGTGACACACATGCTGCTGATCTGATCTACACTTGGAACGCCACTGGCCTGGACCGACTGCCTCATGTACCATATAATGCATCCCTACAGTTTCTGGCCAACTTGTGAACCCCACAGGGAGGTGTGGTGTGGGTGGTGGGAGGTGAGCTTTGCTGGGTGGTTTGAACTGTCCTCATGCTGGCAGCTGCTTGGCAGCTTCACTTTCCGAGCGCTGCAACTGTTTCAGGAATGGATCTGGCAGGATTTAAGCTTGGGTCCAGCAGGCGCATCTGTGAGGCCCTGATAGAAGCATTCAGCCCGGAGATCTGGATTTCTTCTCAACTTTCATCTATGGCCCAGCTTACCAAGGACTCTTCTCCTGTTATAACTGGGGTTTTCAAATTCAGTGATGTTCCCGCTGCTCTACCAGGTAACAGGTTAAAAAAAATCCAAGGCTGATTCATTTTACCGTGATCTTCATATTTTGAAAAGATTATATCCAAATCCCAACTGGCTTCCTCTGTTCCTCAGATTAAATACTCCTCACTGTTCACTGTGTGTTGCAGTGTATCATCCTGTTTTTTATTAGCCATCCTCAAGCTTTCCAACTCCTTAGCCTTCCAAGATGCTCTTTCCTGACCACAAAGTTCAAATGAATTCCTCTGGTTCCCTCCTTCTGCCCGACTACCAGGCAGGCCTCCTACTTTTGGGGAGCCCTGGGCTGCCCTGTTTAGCAGAGGCAGCAGCAAGTGTCCCCCAGTCCCCCCAGTTCTTTCACTTACTCATCTGAATGAAGGCTCTCCCCGAATCTTAGGCCCCTCTGTAATATTCTCAAATGGATTCCTGATGGGTATTTAAAACTCTGATGGAGAGGTTAGTGAGAAGTCAGCAACTGAATACAGAATACAAGTCATTCTTTAAATCCCATAGTCTCTGGGTTCCTTTAGGTGTGACACTCAGCCACAATTTTCATAATGTATTATTAAATCTAAAAGTGAAATGCCCACTCCTGATACAACCTCCTCCCGTCACCCGGACTAAGGCTGGTGCTGTGTATGACTAAGCTGAAAATCGCCTTTCTCCATGCTTGTCCACCACTCCCCCTGCCCCCATTTCTACCGACCAGCATTCATGTTCTCCATGAGCACATCCCCCGTCCCCCTTGCACCTAAACCTGGTGCCGAAGAAGTTTGTGGTCAGGAAATGAAGGCAGATGCCATAAACTTAATCTCCCTCCTCTCCCCTAGATTAGATATTGTTTTTATTTGGTTCCCTTTGAGTCTCCTTATTTGTCTTCATTCCAAATTTCAGGACGTACCTGGTGGAAGAAAATACGGATTATTCTGTAAATCAACCGCCCAGTGGGGGGTTGCTTTTAAAGGGCAGAGGAGAGTGATGAGGTCCTAGCTGAGACTTGACTCCAGGCAGCCGGGAGCAGTTCCTGCCCCATCGCGGGCATCCAGTGAACACTTGGGAAGTGAGCGGATGCCACTCTGCCCGGCTGATTCTGGACCTGTGCAGTGTGTACTCTGAGAATATTTTGTTGCTGCACAATTCCCTATCGATATGTTTGGCGATGGCAATGGGGCCAAACCCAGCTGGTGGGACTGCTCCCTGGCCCATCCAGACCAGCTCTTTGCGACCCTGCTTTTCTGGCCATGACCAGCTTCCATAAATCAACTTGCTCCACCTTTTTTTGCTTTACGATCTCTTACATGGCTTGTCAATTAAATTTTGTAGCTTTAATTTCTTAACAATTGGTCCCAGGCCATGGGCTATAAATCAGTCTGCCCCAGCTTGCCTTTTACAGGAAATCTCAGTCCTCAGCTGGCTGAATTTCTCCTCCAGGCCTTTTGAAGGGGTCTCTCCTCAGTTCTTACAAAAACAAGGGAAGCTGCAGCCTTTCACCAGGAGGAGCATTCCTGCTCCACCAGCACAGCTGTCGCCGACCTTCTGCTCCACCTGGATTTCTTATTGTCACTAGCTGGAGTTTCTAACTCTTCATTGCAACATCTTAGCTTTATGGATTGTCTCTTTCCTCACCTTTTCTGATGTTTCTTCTTTGCTTTTGCAAATCTTAGTACCGGAATGTTACTGATTCTGCCCTTCCTGGGCAGAGGACGGTCTCCCTGCTGGGCCCTTCCTCACCCGCCACCTTCATGGGGTCACTCCCTATCTCCTGACAGTCCTGTCAAGGGACTCCTGACAGTCCTGGTACTGTCCCGTGTCCCATGAGCCTTCCTCAGGAGGCATGTGAGGGCTCCAAGCAGAGGTACCAGACTCACCTGTGGCTGGCCTGGTCCTTGCCCCATGGTGACACTATCATCTGGGGAAAGGATGACCTCATGGCTTTAATGCTCACACTCACCGGGCTGTCTGCTTCTGTTCTGGTCCAGTGTTCTTTTGTTCAAGACTTCAACCAGTTTATTAGAAATGCATGTCATGCATCTTGTTAGGTGTTTCACAGGGGTCTTTAGAAAGACACAAATAGGACTATTCAGTCTTTCTTAACACCAGATTTTTTTTCTCAGCCATATTTAATATTTGATTCTTCAGTGATGGGATATGCCTGGTAAGTCAGTTAATTGTAATGTGGAGAAGAAATGGCTCTGAAGTTAATTTGTGCTGGTCTTTCCCATGACTAATCTCTTACTGTGTGGAGATTTCCAAAACAGTGACAACATGTGTCTCTTCCAAGGCTGACTTGCTCTAGAGGCCAGACCACAGCTTCCAGGCATTTGAAGCAGGGATGACAGAGCAGTGAGGCTGCAGGGTGACCTACCTCAGGTATGGGCCACCTGTGCCTCTTACAGCCTTCCCAGGAGCAGGAAGATGGGAAACAAGTACAGGTTTGTGTTCTTGAAAAGCGAACAGAGCTTGGCTCAGATCTGTTCCCTGAGTGGCATTTCAGGGGAAATAAGACAGGAGTAACCTGACAGTGGAAAGCAGATGTATGAAAGCGATGCCACATGAGGAAGTTCAGTAGAGGGAAGTCGTAAGTGCCGTCCAGCAGTGACCGGGAAGGCCTTCAAGGAGTTGGTGGCCTGCCAGCTGAGTGTCGTGAGAAAGGGGAGGAGTGGTGAGAACAAACAGGTGGTGGTGAGAAGGCACAGGCCTTTGCTTTTCAACAGGGGGCGGGACTAAAATCACCTCAGGCCTTGTTTAAACAGAGAGCTCCCAGGACACCCCCACCAGAGGCTGGGGTAGAAGGTCGGCAGTGAGCCCAGGAGCTGGACAGCCTGAAAAGCTCAGGAGCCCTCACTGAGATGCACTCAGGCTATGAACCTCGTGGCAACCATGGAGGGCAGTTCCAGGTGATTCTGAGTACCTCGTTCCATTTAAATTCTTGATTTAGAGCATGGTTTGTAAATAAGTTGCTGTAGGAGTTAGGCTGGACCAGGCAATGACAGAAGTTGGTAGGACGTAAGTGCAAACACAGAAACTGTCTGAAGCCGCGTTGCTCCAGCAATTATTGTCATGGAGCAATATGCAGCCAGGCACCACAGCTTTCCATTTGCAAGAGAAATCTGAAACCTGGGTTTTATACACATTTTCCTTCTCCAATTATCAAGTGATTAAAATGCCACGAGTACCAAACAATTCCATGAAGGCCATTAGGTGGCAAGATCAGAGGCACAGAATAAAATCCTACTGTATGTGGACTTGAATGATAGGCTAAAATTATATTTCTTCTGGTACACAATGAAAAGCAATGGGAGGCTTGAAAAGGACTTAACAAGAGAGTGCCTTGAGAAAATCCATATGGCTGCTGAGTGTCCTTGGGTGGGGTGGAGAAAGGGCCTGAGTCAAGAGATCACAGGACTTTCTTCTAATTAGGCAGCGAGAATAGGAAAGAAAGCATGAAAGCTGGTGGGAGCGAGAATTCAGGAGATACGGTTGTTGTGGAAGGAGGAGGGAGAAAAGAATTATCCAGAGTTCTCACAGCATTTGTTCTACCTCTAATCATCCTTTTTCCTTTAATGTTTACTGATGTTTTAGCTTCATCCATTCTGCAAAAAGGGTAACTTAGGTTGTGTACGAATAAGTGCTTAATAGGGAAATTTAGAGTCTTTTCTTTAGGGGGAAGGAATAAAGCACAGACAAAATAGTTTATAGTATCTATAATAAATGCAAAGAAATCAATACAAACAAAACTTGGCTTTAGCAAACTGTACATACATAAATATCATTTTTAACTATAACTTTTTTTCCACATAAAGCCTTTCATTATCTTATTTATTACATCCAGTTTTTTTACACCTTTAAAAAAAGTGCCTTTTACATTTACAGCTTGTGCTTCTAAAGCAAAGGTTAGAACATCATGCCTTCCCCCAACCCCCCCAAAAAAACAAGGTAGAAAGGAAGCTGCCATGGAAGCTCTTAAAAATTGTATGTTACAAGGTACTAAAACCACTTCAGCACTGGTTGGCTGATTGGTAGACTGTCCGATGCCACCGTGGCACAAGGGGAGAGTCCTTTACTGAGTGGATGGGGCAGCTCTGTGGGCAAGGTGCCCAGACGGCCTACTGGAGTCCTTGGGTATGTGTAGGATGGGCCAAAGGCCCAGAATTCACACGTCCAGAGAATGTTGGAGGTGCTTAGTCTCTTTAGTGCTGAGGCTCAGGGCTTCCAATAAAATTTCTTCCCAACCTCCTGTTGGCTGTTTGCTCTTCTCCTGTTTACCGTCGCCTCTGAAGCCTTGACAGGCACACACGGGTTACGGAGGAGAGCTGAGACGGCCATGCCGAGGGCATCTGCCAAGATTCAGGACCTTGTTTTGCTAGTTTGGGATTGATCTGGCCCAGCCCTCCTTAGGCTTCCTGCTTTGCTACAAATGGCACCTTCTTGGTTCAGAGTGGAGGCGGGCCATTTGTGTATCTGAGCATGGGGTGGAATGATCGGGCAAAATTGTTGGAAAGGGCACAGCTGTAGTCTTCCTCTGACATTGGGACAAGGCAGGCGAGCCCGATGAGAAGCAGCAGGAGAAGCTGGAGTGGAAGAGCCGCCCGGAGGACTCTGACCAGGAAGGCTCGGCCAGACTGCACCGGCCGCGGCTCAGAAAGGGAGGAATCGGAGCCACCTTTTCTGGACCTGAGAGAAGAATCAACACAAGGAGCTCAAATAGCTCAAATACTGGACAGATGCTGGGCTTTGCTTTCTCACCTTCCTGGAAGCTAAAGGACCAAACCCAACCCAACTTGGCCAGTGGCTGCCAGACTTCTGCAGTACACCCAGGGGATCTCCCCCCACCAAATGAAGAGTTGTTTGGAATCTGCACTGATGAAAAATAAACATTTAGTCAGTCAACTAAAGGTCACTGGGTTCCAATTCCACCCCTCAATTTGGTAAAATATTTTCCATCAACAAAGGCAACTGCTCTACACACATTCTACCACCGTAAGTTTCGTAGATCCAGGATAATTAAAATGTGGAAGCTTGATGCAGTGCAGTTTTGATTTAAGAATATCGGGAGCAGCAGTGGGCAAAATTAGGTGCTGTCAGAGTCATACAAAGTATTCCATGTAGCCATCCTGGATGTGCCAAGACAGGAGCTGTCATCTTGCAGACCCGTAAAGTGGACTCCCCTTGAGAATACCCCAGTTTCATCTTGCACTGAGTCAGCATCTGGCCCTGACATTAGTGGGTTCCGAAGCTGTATGAACAAGGCTGGCAGTGGAGTCAGCCTTCCAGAACACTGGGGTTGAATAACATAGATTCAAGGCTGATCTTATGTATCACTAGACTAGCTCTGTGACTTTGGGAAATGAACACAATTTTCCTGAGGACAGATGGTCACCTTGAAGGCCTCTTCTAGACCCAAATTCCAAGTTTTCCCATCTACTTTTAAATAGTGAACTTGAGATTCAGCATGAATTTCACAATTCCTAAGATAGACTGTGAAATATTGAGTATGGAAGTAAGTTCTGGGTGGGGTACACCATTCTCTCTTTGTGAGCATCCATTAATGTTTTGTTTGGCTACGACTGCAACAGATGAAGGAAGAAATGGTATTTACAAGAGTCATTTTGGGCATACCTACACACACAGACAAAATATTGCAGAAGCAAAAAGAACAGATGTCCCAGTTAGACACTTTCCCCCACACCTAGGATGGATTCCCTAATGGTTGTTGTATCACTAAGGTTAGGACACTGAACGTGAAGGTGTGAGACTGTATTGGTTACACCGTGTGGTTTTCTCATAAGGAAATATTATATTTTCAGCACCCTATTAGCTTTGAATTTCTGAAAACAGATTACACTAGTATCAGGGAGGAATAAGGGGTGGCACCAAAGAAAATAAAAGCTAAAATACAGACATAATCCTCTTAAAAGGGAACAGAGGGATTACCAAAACTCTTTTATTAAAGCATCAACGAAACATGTGAGGCAGAAGCCCTGCAGGAGTCCCAAGCAGCCGTCCTGTGTTTCTAATACAGTTGTTGATGTGTAATGAAAAAAACACATCACTGGCCTAAATTGGAACTGTGTTCTTTCCTGAAGTCTAGTTAATGGCTGTGTAACCTTGAGCAACTGACTTCACCTCTATGTGCCAACCTCTTCTTCAAACCCTTCCAATCAGACTAGATGGCCTTCCAACATGAAGGTATCATGTTTTATACATTCTGTGTCTTCTACTAATTGGTTGGTATAAATAGTCTACCAACTGAGGCCATAAGAGTTCAATCACCATCTAGTGGTCAAGCTGATTAACTGCCCTATGTTAAGACCAGTGAGTTCTTCCTCGTGAGCTGAAAAGCAACAGCTATATATTTAGTGGGGAAGAAGCATGTCACATACCTATTAATGGAATTGAAGAGAGAAACTTCTTGAGTTAATTGTAAAAATTCATGTTGAGATAAGGACTTAGAGTGTACCTAATTCATCTTCTAATTTTGTAGATTAGTAGGTAAAAAGAGTTAACATTTATTCCTCTAATTGCTGGACAACATGCAAAGCATGTATCTGGGCTTCTCTCACTTGTCCCCACAATAGTCCCTGATGCGCTTGTTATCCTCATTTCATAGATGATGAAAAGGAGGCTCAGAGAGGTGAAGTAACTGGCTCAAGGTTAAACAGCTAGCAAGAGGCAGAATTAAGATTTCAACCCTGCGATTTTTAACTCCAGGATGTGGACTCAAAGACAGGGGAAATCACTTGCCCCAAATCCCACAATTAAAGGAGGAGGTCTGGCAGGAATTCAGGGTTCCAAATTCCCTGCAGATGTTTAGTTTGGTGACATGAATGAAGGCCTTCCAGGTCATATTTATATCACAGATTTCTCACAGGTTGAAGCAAAGAATACTTGTACCCTGAAATATCTGGAGGTGAGTGGTTTCTTCATGTCTAAAATAAATGCCTCTAATCATAAAGCCTCACATTACATAGATCAGCAAGTCAGTCAATAGACATGAGGGCATTTTGTTTTGAGGCAGTTGTATAATTTTCGGCAATTAATTTAGTCTTTCTGGTCTTCAGATTTTCCATTTGCAAAGATGAGTATCCTCAAATCATTTGGGCTCTGACAGTTTATGGATTTGAGTGTTTGCCTTAAAGTGTCTGGAGAAGGGTGGGATAGTTGCCAATAAGCCCTGGATTGAATTTTTCTTCAATCTACCTTCCCCCTGGCCTGACAATATGGCCTGGTGAACAACACTCACCACCTGTCACTGCACGAATTATAAGAGAAGCACAAAAGAGAGCTCCATGTTTCCTCATGATTCAGTATTTAGATACAATGTATTTATTTTCAACTGACTCTTCTTCTTTAGGGGACTTCAAAGGACATTAGTGATGGGCAGATGTACGCCTATAACTGACAGTACAATCCAAGTGACAGAGCTGAATAGCCTGTTTGTCAATTATTAGCTTTCTGAGGAATTCAGCCGAAGATCAAGATCAAAACAAGGACTGCACGTTGACTAGTTCACTCCTGAGAAAAACGAGAAAGGTCACCATCCTTGGAATACGGGCCCTGCTGTTATGAATGTTGAAGGACATGGCACATTTGACAGCATCAGAGTGCTCCGTAGTGAGATGTAATTAGCACGTGCCTTCTAACATTGAAGAATGCCGACCTAGGGGCAAGTAATGGGCTGACATAGGGACAAAGAGAACACCCAGTGCTTAGTGAGCTTCCATGCAGTTGACTGCTTAGAAATGTCCAATTTATCTACAGAGAAAAATACCACCCCCCTGGGGCAGTGAGCAGGGTCTCAACATGCCCAAAGTTGCCTCTTCTTTAGGGCGAACCTGTTCCAGGGCTTCCGGTACCAACATATTAGTGACACCAGGGTAAAGGGTACTTTTAATATTTATCTATCAACCTAAAATCGCCCGAGTTTCAAGAGTCTTGGGAAATTTGATGGGAAAGAACAGAACCAACACACTGACTGCTAGTTATTCATCACTTCCCAGAGGCCTTATTACACCAATAGATGCCAGATGAGACTTTGTTTATGGAAGAACTAATGTGTGAACTAATTCAAGGAGCATAACAGAGGTATTTCAGATGTTTCTGTCCAGCAATGTGTGCATTCTTTACAAGTAAATACGGAATTTGTTATTTTTCTCACTCCCCTCATTCATTCAGATTTCTAGGTAAATGATTGTTCTTTCATCTCTTTCCCAAAATGCATATATTTGTGAGAGAAGAAGGCTAGTAGGGGAGGGAGAAGTATAGAACAACACACCACAGAAAAGTAAGTGTGACCAAGAGATGTGAGGAGCCTGAACAGTGGGTACAAAGGGTGCCACTCATCTAAAAAAATTTTACATAATCGAGGAAAATAAAATGAGCTAATTCTGTGCATGCACCATTCAAACACAAGTGGAAAGAAACCTTCAACTCGTTGTGTTACTTGTTAGCTAACACTGGCAGTACTGTAACAGGAAGTTACTGTGAGGAAATATCTCGGTTGTCTGTGATCTTGTTGCCTGCTTTTGGGTGAATGGTCTTTGTTCCCCAGATACGCGGTTCGGAAGATAAATTTCCAGAATCAATTTAGGATTTCAGTCTCCTCTTATTTTAAAGAGGACATTCGGGCTAGTCCTCGGCTATCTCAGGCAGCCTGTGGTATCCCAAGGCTTAGAACTGTTGTTTTAAAGGATCTCACCGACCAATAGCCCTTTGTGGGAGGGGAGTGGGTAACAAGCTAGGAGCTAGGCAGGGAGCCCTGGGTTCAAATCCTCAATCCCCAGGTCTTTAATCCCCAGGGTCCTTGCCTGTGGAATCTGGAATATAGTCACATCATAGAGGTATTGTGAGGGTTAAATGAGGCAACAGATATGCAATGCTTAGCATGGCGCTTAAAACACATTAAGTATTAAATAAATGTCAGCAACCTATCGTTGTTATCTATGTGATTAAAACAAGAGTGTGCTTGTAACTTTAGGGGTTGGCTGGATTCAGCCTTTTCTCTCAGGAAAACATTCTTGATTTACTACTTATGTTTTCAAATATGTGATACATTTCCCAAAGTGCTGACTTGTTCCAAGGAAACACTGGGAATGGGCACCTAAAAATACTATAAAAGAGACAAAATTGAGCCTTACCCTGTAACTGTCCTCAGCCTGGTGGCCAGCCTGCTCTGGAGGCCAGACTGCTGTAGGCTGAGGCTTTTTGAATGCTTTGAATAAACAGATCCCCAGGGAGGAATCTGGCAGAAAAGACTAGAAAAAAATTCCACAAGGAACTGAATAGTGTTCACAGGGAAGTCCTGGTACTTATGCAAAAGGCCCATTGCTCTTGCTTAAATATATTTGGTGACTTTGAACATATTTTAAAATGCGGTCTTTTTCTCCACCCTTTCACTGGTTCAGCCAGTCATCTGCCATCTCTCAATTCCACCTAGTCCTCTGGGCAGAAGGTGTCAGAGACCAAGGTACCCAGGGAAATTCTGAATTGTGCACGACCAAGCTTTGCAATGATGTCACCACTTCACTCTACCCAGACTACAGAGAATTATTCTTTGCTTTGCTAGAAAACAGAGTAAAATCTTCCCACTTGTCAACTCCAACTAATCTACAGTAGAGTTTGGAACACTAATTACTGATGGGGTTAGACAATTTTAAGTCAACAGGAAGAAAGATGACCAGCCACAGCGTCATAAACATTGCTTCGAAGAGCATGCTTCTTAAATATGTTTAATCTAAAATATTATGAATAGTTATTAATGCAAACAGATATTTTTCAAGTGTTTATAATTTTAAGGAGTCATGAGGGGCTACTTATGTTGATTTAGGGAATCTCTAGATTCTGACAAATTGTAGGTCTTTTAGTGGCCGGAACCATATTTTATTAACAAAGGCTCAGGGGCCTAACCATAGTAGGTATACAGTAAATACTGGCATCAATCCATATGTAGGCTTAGAAATTAGGTAAGAAGACACAGAACAGTGACCATAAAATCAAACTGAAATTTATAGCAGGCAAGCAACTTTTATTATGAATACCTGACTTGAAACAGTAAAAAGAAGCTAAGAACCCTTCCCTTCAAGCTAATACCCAGTTTCTTTCAACTCAGCCTTTTTCCCCTCTCAGAAAAAATATGGGTCTAAAATTTTCCCACTGCAGATTGCTAGGGTCAACCTTCTAAAGTGGCTTTTTCAAATTTGCTGGAGCAGTGCAAGATCAAACACAGGGTACTCTCAACGTAAAGGATACCATGTAAAGGATACCATGACAGCCTGGATTGTGAGTGAAGTTACTTCTTCTCCAGCAGACTCTGCGTTTCATTGGTGGGGTTGTGTGCACCCCAAACAGAGGTGCCAACGAGCTAAGAAGTCCAAGAAGGTCCAACCACAACCTGTCTGCCAAGGTGTTTGATGAAGTCTGCCATGTGGGTGGAGACCATTTACATTCCAAGTTGTCTAAGTGGCAGAGGCAACATTGCGCTGTGTGCTCAGAAAGACGTTAATAAACAGTGCTGGACAGAGCAGAGCTGACAGGCACCTTGCAATGTCACAGTGAGAATGGCTGTCCCAGCTGCAAAGCCCTGTTAGAAGACATGGTGAAGCCCTTGCTGCCCTAAGAAACGATGCCTCTGACATTCTCAGAAGACCCATGTGGTTGCCTGAGAGAACTGGGGGAGTAGATTGTTGCAATCTTTGGGAACCAAAAGGTAGATGCTAGTGGCATTGCGTAATGACCTAAGAGCGTTTTCCCTTTTCACCATCATTTATGTTAACCAAAGATGGTTCTCTGGTATCCTTAAAGGAAAGCGATAGGGATATCGCTCATCTCCATTCCTAGCATCCCCAGCAATTTGTGGAGAGCAGATGGACTGTGTAAAACAGTAATCTGTCTATAGTACACGACTATCTATCTATGTACTCCAAACGGACAGAGAACGGGGCCAAGAAAACAACAGAGCACCTGTGGAAGTCCATCATTACCTTCCAAAATGCCTGTCAGTCTTTCTCCATTCATGTTTCATGATTGACTTTTTATTATGGGCAAAAACAAAACAAAAGAAAAACAAAAATAAAATGCCAACAAAATGGTCTTCAAACCAGAGAGAAAGAAAAACAAAACAAAACAAAAAAACCACAGTAGTAAAGGGAGGCTTAAAACCAGCAAGCACATCCAAATAAGCTCTGCATTTCTTCAGCTGAGTGGGAATAACCAAGTCAAACAGCCAGTTCCTTGGGCACACAGCTGGAAAACTGAACCGATTACTCAGGGGTTGTTTACAGTTCATCGCTTCCTCCTCCCCCACCCTCCTTCCAGGAATTTAGATTCTGGCTCAGTCATGATGAGTTTCTAGAGGGGCAAACTATTTTAACAGTGAACTGCTTGGGATAGGAGTAAAAAATCAGCTCTGAGGACAGTATTTTCATTTTTAAGAAGTCTGGGGCAATGTGAACTGATTAGCAAGAGGGTAGGGAAGCACAGACACCACACAGACAATGAAGAAGGCAAAAGCCCCTCTAATGCAGGAGTGAGGGACTGTGGGAAGCTGGGCGTGAGCATGGGGTGGCAGCTGTGGATAAACTCTCTGCAGGTGTGCGCGCAGGGCACTGACTGCTCTTGTCTCTGGGGTGAAAGAGCTTGCCAAGTGTCAGAAAGGTGAGTGACTGAGTGTGCTAGCTGAAGAGAAGTTTTAGGATAAGCAGAAGAGAGAAGGTGCTTGTAAATTGTAAATAATACCAAATTAGGACTTGCTGTTTTGAGAATCTGAAACCCACAATCTGGATAAAACATGAAAACAAAATAAAAAGCTGGGGATGTTAGTATATTTTATTCAGATTTGTGGGTTCGGTGACTCGTAAAATAATTCACTGATCTATTATCTGTCTCATTGTAAAATCTAGAAATAAAGAGGATGATAAAAGTCTGCCATGAATCAAATGGTGGCTATGCCATCAGCTGTATTGAATCCTCAGGTGCACACAGAATACCATTTGATGAAAAGTACCAGATGGCCTATGTAAACTTAAAAGACAATTTTGGTGGGGTCCAAATATTTTATGCTCTAAGCTTTACTTGTACTTTCCACTTAGAAAAGTCTCTTCCAATTTCTTAGGAAAGGGTGTGGCCTTAAATGAGTAATTTTTCAACTACTATGAGACAGACCAGATACAGGCCTACCTAAATCATGAACAATTTTCATCATCCTCTTGGAGTTCTAGAACAGTGTGCAAACCAGGAGAATAAGGTACCTGCTATGTGGACTGTTGACAGAGGGTCCAGGCTGTGAGAGACTACATTTGCCTCGTGGCTGTTTGCAATGAACAGGGGGTAAAGAAAGAAAAATGTTCAGTCCAGGCAAATAAAGACAAGCTACTGATGAAAATTGAACTAAAAGTGGAGCAAAGGAAAAATAAATCAAACGAAATGATCAGTACCCATGAATTAAGGAAACTGGCTTTTCTTCTCTGGAAGGTAATAAATTCACATCTCTATTATAAGTCATCGAGGAAACATAAATGGTAGTTTGGGAGTCCAGAGCACAGTGGGTATATTTTTCCCCACATTTCATGGTAGAAACACAAATGACTCTGTGCAAGTTAAGGATCTCTGTAAAGTTACAATAAACGTAAAATTCAATATATCATGCCACACTATACTGTTTCATCTTCTAGATCACTGAAACAGTATTAAAATTCTTGATAAAAAAGTAACAAGCAACATGAGGTTGTTTTTTGTAGACTATTGATAAAGACCCAACATGTTCAATCCTCAAGTTAAATAAGGGCTAGAATTTGACTCGAAAAGCCAGTATTCCTTCACATTCTTAAACTAGCATCTATAGGAAACTAGTGAATGTAGTAAAAAACAATCCTATAAAAGATAGTAACATTTATCAGCATAGAACTTGAGTGTTTATAACAAAAAATGTACAAATAAAATCAATATTTCTAAAAACTAAGGAAAATGGAATGTAATAAAAATGAATATAATCATAAAGCCAGACCAAAAAAAAAAAAAGTAATGACCTAAGAGCGTTTTCCCTTTTCACCATCATTTATGTTAACCAAAGATGGTTCTCTGGTATCCTTAAAGGAAAGCGATAGGGATATCGCTCATCTCCATTCCTAGCATCCCCAGCAATTTGTGGAGAGCAGATGGACTGTGTAAAACAGTAATCTGTCTATAGTACACGACTATCTATCTATGTACTCCAAACGGACAGAGAACGGGGCCAAGAAAACAACAGAGCACCTGTGGAAGTCCATCATTACCTTCCAAAATGCCTGTCAGTCTTTCTCCATTCATGTTTCATGATTGACTTTTTATTATGGGCAAAAACAAAACAAAAGAAAAACAAAAATAAAATGCCAACAAAATGGTCTTCAAACCAGAGAGAAAGAAAAACAAAACAAAACAAAAAAACCACAGTAGTAAAGGGAGGCTTAAAACCAGCAAGCACATCCAAATAAGCTCTGCATTTCTTCAGCTGAGTGGGAATAACCAAGTCAAACAGCCAGTTCCTTGGGCACACAGCTGGAAAACTGAACCGATTACTCAGGGGTTGTTTACAGTTCATCGCTTCCTCCTCCCCCACCCTCCTTCCAGGAATTTAGATTCTGGCTCAGTCATGATGAGTTTCTAGAGGGGCAAACTATTTTAACAGTGAACTGCTTGGGATAGGAGTAAAAAATCAGCTCTGAGGACAGTATTTTCATTTTTAAGAAGTCTGGGGCAATGTGAACTGATTAGCAAGAGGGTAGGGAAGCACAGACACCACACAGACAATGAAGAAGGCAAAAGCCCCTCTAATGCAGGAGTGAGGGACTGTGGGAAGCTGGGCGTGAGCATGGGGTGGCAGCTGTGGATAAACTCTCTGCAGGTGTGCGCGCAGGGCACTGACTGCTCTTGTCTCTGGGGTGAAAGAGCTTGCCAAGTGTCAGAAAGGTGAGTGACTGAGTGTGCTAGCTGAAGAGAAGTTTTAGGATAAGCAGAAGAGAGAAGGTGCTTGTAAATTGTAAATAATACCAAATTAGGACTTGCTGTTTTGAGAATCTGAAACCCACAATCTGGATAAAACATGAAAACAAAATAAAAAGCTGGGGATGTTAGTATATTTTATTCAGATTTGTGGGTTCGGTGACTCGTAAAATAATTCACTGATCTATTATCTGTCTCATTGTAAAATCTAGAAATAAAGAGGATGATAAAAGTCTGCCATGAATCAAATGGTGGCTATGCCATCAGCTGTATTGAATGCTCAGGTGCACACAGAATACCATTTGATGAAAAGTACCAGATGGCCTATGTAAACTTAAAAGACAATTTTGGTGGGGTCCAAATATTTTATGCTCTAAGCTTTACTTGTACTTTCCACTTAGAAAAGTCTCTTCCAATTTCTTAGGAAAGGGTGTGGCCTTAAATGAGTAATTTTTCAACTACTATGAGACAGACCAGATACAGGCCTACCTAAATCATGAACAATTTTCATCATCCTCTTGGAGTTCTAGAACAGTGTGCAAACCAGGAGAATAAGGTACCTGCTATGTGGACTGTTGACAGAGGGTCCAGGCTGTGAGAGACTACATTTGCCTCGTGGCTGTTTGCAATGAACAGGGGGTAAAGAAAGAAAAATGTTCAGTCCAGGCAAATAAAGACAAGCTACTGATGAAAATTGAACTAAAAGTGGAGCAAAGGAAAAATAAATCAAACGAAATGATCAGTACCCATGAATTAAGGAAACTGGCTTTTCTTCTCTGGAAGGTAATAAATTCACATCTCTATTATAAGTCATCGAGGAAACATAAATGGTAGTTTGGGAGTCCAGAGCACAGTGGGTATATTTTTCCCCACATTTCATGGTAGAAACACAAATGACTCTGTGCAAGTTAAGGATCTCTGTAAAGTTACAATAAACGTAAAATTCAATATATCATGCCACACTATACTGTTTCATCTTCTAGATCACTGAAACAGTATTAAAATTCTTGATAAAAAAGTAACAAGCAACATGAGGTTGTTTTTTGTAGACTATTGATAAAGACCCAACATGTTCAATCCTCAAGTTAAATAAGGGCTAGAATTTGACTCGAAAAGCCAGTATTCCTTCACATTCTTAAACTAGCATCTATAGGAAACTAGTGAATGTAGTAAAAAACAATCCTATAAAAGATAGTAACATTTATCAGCATAGAACTTGAGTGTTTATAACAAAAAATGTACAAATAAAATCAATATTTCTAAAAACTAAGGAAAATGGAATGTAATAAAAATGAATATAATCATAAAGCCAGACCAAAAAAAAAAAATAACAGACCAAAAAATAAGCTTCTAATTACACAGAGAAATCAAGGCATAGAGGGTAGCAGGGGCCAAATTTGTCTCTTTTCCTCCTATTGCATGCCGATGTGGCAGCCCCCGCACAAGCCTTGTGGGTCAGTCGCCTTGAGTTGCTGCCTCCGCTGGGGCAGCACATTTGTGGAAAACCTTCAAGACCACATGCAGGAGCTTCTTTGCTTAGAGCCCACAGAACCTCCATTTGTCTCATTAATTCAGTGGGCTCCCGACAGGCTCACAGTTTTGTCCACCCCTGGCGGTGGCACCCCTTTATGCGGAGCGTACATTTTTAGGTGGACTTGGGTGGTGGTGGTCTGAAGGGAGGCGCCAGCAAAGGGACAAGAGAGCACCATTCTAGAGAGGAGCCTTGGAGCAAGAAAAATAATTTGTCTCCCTGCGTAGCAACCACACGTTGAGCCCTGATGCCTCTAAAAAGCAGAACTGCTCTTTTCCAGTCCTGCGTACCCGTAGGGAGGGCATGGGGCAGGGCATGAAATGGCACTTGGCTGTGTCAGTGTGACAACCCTCTTCGGTCTGGGGACTCCTGCTTGCCGGGGAAGAGCCTGTGGACCCTGCCATAGGTACAAACAGCCACTGCCCGGTGTTCCCTCCCATGGGCCAACTGAAATCGACCAGTGGGAAGTTACCGTTCTCTGTCTGTTCGGAGTGCTTCTTCCCGATGCAGGACTCACAGACCCTGAGGTGTCCAGTTCATCGGCCGAAGACCAGGAAGACAAATCCTACGTGGGAGATAGATGAATAGAATGACGCCATGTCCCAGGCTTGCTTACACACAGTGAAATTTCCTACCCCACCCCCATCCATCCCCCATAAAAATCAAACCATTCCTTGGGAAATACAGAAGCAGACAACTACAAGAAGTACAGAACCCAGTTCTTCTAGTGTATTAGGCTTTCCTGGTGGTAAGTCTGGCCTTCTGGAAAACATTAAGTATAGCTTTGCTATTACTATGTCACTTGTAGCTTTATTATTTCTTAGTGACATGGATGTATTGAGTGGAAGTAAAGGATGTAAATGAATCTGCCTGACAGCCGCAGGTCCCTTGGACCAAAAAGAAACCGATTCATGTGTTAGAAACAAAAGATAGTTATCCAGGAGCCTGCCCTTTCGGCATCTGAGAAATTGTAGTGTTTCTGGCTCTGCTGTTATTGGGAGTAGACTGTTCTTTTGCATGCTTATAGGGGGCAAGGTGTTTGTGTGTTCATAACAGGATTTCACAATTGAATGTTTGAAGCCTTATCAAGTATTTCTGTATTTGCTGTTGCATTTCTCAAAACCAACAGTACTACCATGATGGAAGAGAATCAAGGCAAAAAATATAAAAAATAAGTAAGCACAGGACATTTTCTATGAATTCATTGCTGTCTGTGTCAGGAGAATTCATATCTTCTAGGGGTTGAATACAAAACTCATATGCAATGATCGGTTGTGATCTACCACAGCTGTATCGCTGAAACCATAAAATTAAATGCGACAATAATGGAGATAATATTGTTAGCAGAGGAAATTACAAGAGGTCCTTTGGATGTAATAGAATCAAAAGCAGTGTGTCTTATAAATAAGTTTATGAGCTGAGACAGGACTCATAAGAACAGTGATTAAGAGTGGATACTTTATCTGTGACAAGTACCACATTCAAAGTCTTTCTAAAAGGGATAAAGATGATGTTTCTTGGTAGCCTGTAAGAAATACGACACAGTGGTGCTGTTCAGAGCTTACCTGCTGGCTGCTTGACATGTCTAATAATTTCTCCAGCTCCTTGATATGACGACTGACCTCCTTCAAGAGAAGTTTGCGCCGATTTCCAATCACATGGACTTTTTCTTTGGCTTCCAAACAGTCTGTGCCTTCAGCATTCACCAACAGCTGGCAAGACATGTCTTGCAGGGAGGCCACTTTGAGCTGGGATTCCAGTAACTCATGCCTTATTTGCTATGTATACAATAAGACATATTTTCCTAAGAATGTCAATAATTGGAGAACGTTCCCAAAGTGCAGAATGACATCACCTGAACTCAGTGGGCAGTTATACCCGAGCATCAGAGGTCTGTGCTCACACAAGAAAGGAGGCAGCAGCCTGTGGCATTTGGGGATCAGGGACCTGCTGTTCTAATCCTGCCTCTGCCAAAAGCATTGTGTAAGACCTCTGAGCCTGTCTGACCTTGGTTTTTTCATTTGGTAAAATGATGATACTACTTCGTGCCTCGTACACAGTAAGTATTACTGGAAGATTCAAATTGGTGACTATAAGTGAAAGTACTTAAAATATAAAGTATTATGCAAATAAAACATAAGATTTTCTTTAAAGCAGGAAAGTAAAACATTAACATATAAACACAGTAGAACTCAAGTACGTCTAGATATAGTGTGATAGCTGTTCAGGATGTTCAAAAAGATATACGGGTGATTCATCACTTGCAACTTAATGTCTGAGGTCAAATGCAGTAAAAATGCAGTTGCATAGCTATTTCCTCTTAGTTTCTAAGAACTTTATGGTACTGAATTTAAAAGCTACCAATTTTGTTAGTTAGGTTAGTAAGTGTTAAATGTTAAGAAATAACATTTTAAAAATACAGAGCTACAAGATGCACATCATTTTCTCCTAATGGAACTCAAATATGCTTCTTTATCATTTATAAAATCACTTAAGTATGCTTTACATTATACTGTCCAAAGTTCTTTGTGTAAGAATCTATATAGAAGTTCTGCACATTTCCTTTTGAATTTAGTGCTGAGCAAAGGTTTCTTGTTTTTTGAGAACTGTTTTCATTCTGTCAGATAATGAAAACAATTTAAGTCGTCATGTTTCCCTCTCTCTTAGCTTAAGGAAAACTAGATACTAAGTTAATGTTAATTCTTCTCAAGAATTCTTAAAGGTCTCTTTCTATTTTAATACTTTCAGTGTCCTTTTATTATAAGACATCTGATATACTTTTGGAATACAGTTGTAACAAATACAGTTTAAATTAAAAATAAGCATTTCACCAAAGAGTTGCTTTAATAAAACAAGCAATTAAGATTAAGAGCATCTATGATTTCTACAACTGAACAATGACTTTAAGAACCAGATTCTAAAGCTAGTAGGTCTTATCTTCTTTGCAGGTTCACTTCACAAAAATTGGAAACCAGAAGGAGTACAGAAAGAGTACATTAGAGACTATATTGCAAAAGGTAAAAAAATTACCACCCATTTCTTTTCTGTAAATGAAATGGATCACTGCTAAAAATATCCAGAGGCTGCCAGACTTCACACATCTTACCATCAGCTGTTTGTGATGGTCCTGAAGTATCTCTGAGTCAAGATTAGAATCAATAGGGACAATTTCATTTTTCCTTCTGTCAATGTTCTCCAGCATAAGCAGCAAACCATGACTCATTTCATGGAAATCCTATGAAAAAAAAATGGGGTATAAAATCACCTAGAACAATGTATTTTTCTTTTCCGAATAGTTTATATTTCCATTCTTTGCAACTGCTACTGTTGGTAAAGACACGTTGGTTTTAAGATCTTATACACAACTCCTTTTTGAGGAGGGCCCTGGTGCTGCTGTAATTATCAGAGCTCACGTTTTTACCAAAAGCATCTCACTTACCACTTGAGGGAAAACTTAGACAAGGAAAATTGGCATCAGAATACTTAATATCTAGGGATATTACACAGTTTGGGAGGAAGTGACTGCTCCCCTTTCTTCTCCCTCTGCTCAAATCTTCCCAACTTTTAAGACCTAAATCCAATCCCAATCTCCTTCATTCACCCATTTGTTCATTCATTTACCCAATATATAGTAACCAAAGATCTCCTGCATGGGAGGCTATGTACAGGAGTGGGTAAAGGGAATAAACAACAGCTTGGGGACCTGCCTTCAAGGAGCTATTATTCTCAGGGCATATGGAAACCTGGAAAGCAGTTTTTACATCCTTCAAGGGCTCCCCATCGTGCTCAGAACAGAATCCAAACTCCTGGTTAGGACCTTCAAGGCCCTGAATGATGCAGTTCCCGACCCCCTCTCTGATCTTTCTCATTACGCCCTGCTGCTCTGACTATATCCTGGTTACACTGGCTGCTTTTCTGTGTTTGAAGATACTCAGCCCTTCCCTGCTTCTGGGTCCTCCCATTCGCTCTGTCTCCTTCGCGGCAATATCCTTCTGCTATCTGCTCAGAGATCCACAAAACCTCCCTGACCATCCTCTTAGAGTGGTTTTTCTAAGTTACGCTTATCATCAGCATCTCTAAGTATCTTATTAACCATTTAATGGCAAATTTATTGTCTGTCTTCCTCAACAAAGTAGAGGCTGTGCTGTATCTTGGCTGTTTAGCACCATGTCTGTTAGACAGTGGATACCAGGCAAATACTTGTGGTATGAATGGATGAGTAAATATTTATAATGCTCACTGTGATGTTCAAAGTCCACCTGCCTACGTGCTTAGCAAATATCTGCTGAATAAATGAATGAAATAAATGAATAATTGAAGGAGGAATGCTGGGTCTGAGATAAGCTTGTGGGAATATTCTCTTATCAGCTGGATAGAAGATGGGGTCTAACTGTGTGAACTCCTGGTCACATGCACAAATTCTCCACAAAGTTACCATGCTCAAATACTGGCTTTTGGGGAGCAAGTGCATCCCTCTAGTGACCTAGGTAAAACAAGCCACAGACTCATTGACCCTGGGAATGCTGCCCTGCCTGCAGCCCCATGAACCTGGCATTGCATCAGCGCATCCTGGAGCAGGCCCCGCCACTCCTCCAGCAAGGAGCACACACGGTCCCAGCGGCTGTTCATCTGAGACAAGCGGTCCTGCAAGTCCCTGCTCTGCTGGCTGCCCGTCTGCGTGAACTCAGGGCTGCACAGGTTGATGGAGAGGATGATGGCTTTGCGGTGGTCCACAGCTCTCTGGAGCTCCTGAAGAGGAGAAGGAGAACAACCAAAAAAGTAACAATAAAAACATTAAAAAATTAGTCTAAGACCTTTGGAAACGCTTTACCTAAATTAAAAAATCCAGTACTTAAAACACAGTGGGCACACACCACTGAGAATTACCCTGCAGCCAAAACAAATGAACTGGAGGGACGCTTGACAACAGACATGGATCTTAAGGAAACAATGGTGTCAAGAATGATACATGTAGCACAATGGTGTTATGTAATTTAAAATTCCTGGACATGTACACACACAGTGTGCACAATCCACATTTTTCAAGAATCTGTATGTACAAAAAATACTCATTAAATACTTCAGAATAGTTCCTGTGGGTTTGAGGAATGGGGATTGAAAACCACTGGGGGCAAAAGGAGAAATAAATAAAATTAAGAGGAACTTTGCTGGAAGCACTTATGAGCTGAGCAATGAACTGACAATGAGTAGGACTGACTCACCCCCAGCAGGTGAGTTCACAAAAATGCAACACAGAATCCAGCCCCCTCAGTTCTGAGCAGCAGAAAATGTGCTTTTAGTTCCAGTGTGAGAACTAGAACTAGACCAATGGTACAAGAAGTTGTGTACATGAGAATGAAATGGGAAGCCTGATAAGAAAGATTCCCAGGCACGGCCTCCAGCTGTTCTGACTCTATAGGCCCAGAGACCTAGTGGCCCTCAGGCTGAGAACACTGTCTCTGTCGTAGACCACAGTCTCATGATGGTAAAGGGAATGAACTGGGTATTTCATTAGTTAACCAATTTAGTTTGATTTCACACCACACACACAAAAAGTGACTTTTTTTTTTTTACCGTGAGCTTTACCCCAAAATCTAGAACTGAGTCCCAAAAACTTGAGCACATGATTTTGTATTAATAACTGAACATCTGCGTACTGTTTAAACATCCCCAGATCAAGTTAGGGTGAGGGTGGCCTTACAAATCACACCTCCCCAGGCTACATTTTCTAATAATTTCTCACCGTATCTGTTATGTTTCCAACTTGCCTTGATTTTTCATTTCTCTGTAGACTCTTAAAGCACTGTAATATAGATTCAACCACAGAGATAGTACAAGATCATGGGATATTGTGGAAAGATACGTGGTTATTCCACAGATTTATCCACAGAAAACAGGTGGGAAGGTTCAGGAAGGGGTGCATGGCTGGGTGACTCTTTTTTTAATCACACAAGATGACTTTCAAGGTCTTGTTTCTCCATCCTAATCTCACTTAGGTCGCAGGTCCTGGCCAGCATTTGCTTCATCAGCTTTTTAAGAAATTTGGTTATAAAGCAACACTGCCTTACATTGTGCCAGAGAGGAACTAAAATGAAGTATTTCAGAAAAATGCATTTTATAATCCAGATAAAGCAAGTGGCATCTCCCATCTGAGGGCTCACCCTGCAGGTGATGAGGCTGGTGCAGAGGCTACTCTGTAAGAAGTTGGCGCATCTGTGGCGATCACTCATTTCTCTGACGATTTAAAACAAAACCACCACCAAAACATCACCCTGAATGCATACTACATCCGTCCAGGCCAAAATCAAATACAAATGTCAGGTGTTTTCCCACAGCCACGCTCCAGTTGTGTTTCCTTTTGTTCATTACACTGAAAATTGCTTCTGCCCCTGCTATAATCTATTTCCGAAGTTCTGCTCATTTCAGAATGGCAAATGATTTCATTCGGCCCCCACACCCTCACACAGTTGCCACCCTGAGAGGCGTCCTCTGAGCTCTAGAGCTATACTTGCAGGAACCTGGTCATTGTGTCAGGGGCTGAGTTTATTCTCCTCGGTTCTTAACAATAACTCTTAAAAAAGAGGTTCAGTAGGTCCCAGAGGTACCCAGATACTTCATAAAATTCAAACTGGTCATGTCTCAAATACCAATTCATTAAATCATACATGATTCTTTACACGGTGGCTAGGTCTAACATGCCCCATCTTCCTGCCCTTCCACTCTGGTTTGGGATGGCCACAGGGGAGGGGTGGGGAGGAGAGCATCGCGCTTCTGCTGATGCCCCCCCGCTGCAGTGTCAGGGCAGGTCAGCCGGAGCTGGCGGTTTCACCTGACCAGCTTGCTGTCTGGCTGCCCGTGGGAGGCCGAGGGCAGCTACCTTGAGCTTTTTTATCTGGAGCTCGATGGACTGGATGTCCGTGCTGAGCTCCAGGCGCTGTAGCTGCTCCAGCTCCTCCTCTGTCTCCCCCAGCCAGGTCCAGATGTTGTTCAGGTCAGACATGAACTGCTGCCACTTCTGGAGGTTCTGTTTCGTTCTCAGCTCCTTGCTCAGGGCCTGTGCCTGGAGGAGCTCCCATCGGTCAATCACACCTGACAGGATGAGACAGGCACAGATGGTGAGGTTTTTTTCTCCACGTGTGATGTTTAAGAAACGCTTTAAGCTTACATAGGTGGCTAACTTGGAATAGCAACAGAAAGGGAAGGAATCGCAATGGGCATTTCTGTGGCTGTCAGTTGCAAATAATAATATAATGACTGTCTTTTTCCTATCTGCATTTTTGATGATAACGGAAGAAGACAATGAGCTACATAGGGTTTAACACTGTAAAGAGCTTTGTGAAGCAGTAAGCAGCCATGTGCATGAAAAGCACATTACATTCTTAGTTTCTTTTTTGCAACTGGGCTCTAAGAGTTCTGTTAACATAAAATGCCTGCCTACTGATGTCAGAGACAGTGCATTAAAATAAATAGGACGTGGAAGCAAACATCACCATGCTTGTCGCCTCCACTTCCGTCCCAGGAGATCACTGTAACGTGGGGAAAAGTTCTCCAGACAGACCAGGGTAGAATGAGGCAAGCATCACAGTGTAACTTGGGTGCACAAAGTGCTTTATTAGGATCTTCTATTTCACTTTCATGAACTGAGCACTGCTCACTTACCAGCTGTTTGGGGTTCAGTACTGTTCAGGTTCACAAAGCCAGGAAAATGCTCTTCTTCCTCCTGGAGTTTGTGCTCCAGTCTCTTCACTGAGTCTATACTGCCGCTGCATTCACCCAGCAGTTTCATCTGTTTAGACAGAGAAAACAGGCCCCGATCAAAAAATTCTCAAATTCTCACATGTGCAAGAGCTTCTGGGGACAATATCTTTGTAGTTCCTCAAACAGGACAGTGTCTGTGTTTTCCTTCTCTGTGAAGACTATGCCACTCTACTAAAAAAAAAAGCAAGTTCAAAAACATGCTTCTTAAGGACATGACACATTAATGTATATATACAGCATTGCCTTGAACGTCTACTTTGCATGTGTGGTTTTGCATGAGAAGCCCTTGTAATTTCTTTTAAATTTGTGAATGAAAACAGACTAAACCAATCTGGGATTAAAAACTCAGAGCTCTCAGCTGGCAACACAACACAGTGATTTTTGGCAAGTTGCTCTCTCTTCTTAAACTGAAATGTGGGTATAATGACATTACCACAAGTCTCAAAGGAACACTTTTTGGTATTAAATAATTCAAATACTTAAAAGTATAAAGCCATGTTAAAGCTAGCTGTCTCACGAGAAAATTTAAGCAATGGTTAATAGGTATTAAAGGAATAAATTCTAACATCAAAGTTAAAGCTTCCAACTCCATGTTTACTATCATGCATTGTACTCAAAGGTTAAAAGAACAAATCATTTCAAGGCAGTCCTGCTATCCTGACCACAAAGTTATCTTTCAAAGCCTTTAACAAATTACACTGCCATTAAGTTACTTTGATTATTTTTGAGGCTGAGTATAACATTAACAATGTTGGAAAGGTCATCATAAAACTGTATTATATTTTTAAAAAAGAGGTTTTGCTATAATAGAAGTCAGTGTAATATAGAGATCTAACTGGACAGGAAATAAACTCATGATTGAATACTCTTCCGTAATTATGAGGATATTAACACCAGCATATACTAGAATAGTTTCTTCCCTGGTTTCAAAAAGTAGGATGTGTGAATTGTCACTAGACTTTGGGACATTTAATGTTTCTTTCCTTTTACTAGGCAGACTTTGGGTGTGAAAAGAAGACAGAAGGCATGGATGAGATTTACTTTCAAATTCTCTTAAGTGTGTGTAGGAAAAGTCTCCCAGGTAGTTGTCTGGGAATAATTATTTGGTCAGTAACTTGATCAAATAAAGTTATTAGACACTTTACTAATAGCTTGGAAAATAAAACTGTTAATATACACAAGCTTTGCCATATTTTTTCCAAATCCCTCTTGTTAGTCATAAACACTCCAGAATCTGTATACTAAGAACAGAAAATAAAACATTCCCATGGCCATTAAGTGAATCAATAAGCCCAAGAACTAAAAATGTTCTATGTTAGTAATCTATTAGCTAAAATCTGCTGCTCCAAGGATAACCTTGGTCCAAAAATTATCTGAATTTGGAAAAACGCCTAATTGCTTTTGGGAGCCAAAGCATTTTGTTGCTTTCAATTAAATGGACCTAAGTTCTCTGTGTAAAGAAACAAGCTGGTCATTACAACAGGTTAGTGGGCCTGGGCACAGACCAGTTTTACCCAATGAGTAACCTGCTCATGGGGTTTGTTTTGCACATCCATGCCATGAGCTCAAGGGCAGCGCAGTGTCTGGAGGGCTCATGAAGCTCTCGTGCCCCAGACGGATTGTTCTTTGTCACACAACTGTGATTTCCAGGTACGTGTCAGATCCCGTGGGTCAGGATACTCACGTAGCCTCTGTAGTTGGAGTCTAGCTCTGGTCCTGTGGGAATTTTGCTGTGGACGATATTTTCAGTTTGCTGCATCTGAAAGCGGCTGTCATCCAGGGCTTTGTCTAGTTGTCGGATCTGTGACTCTAAGACGCTGGGGTGCCCTGCAGTGTCAACCATGAGAAGCTTTACAAGTTTGACATTCGAGAAGTCTAACAAATTATTTCAGCTGAGGCAGTATAGAAATGGCAGGTGTGTGGGTAATTATAAAGCAAACTTAGTACTCGCGTGCTAGTGGGTTAGAAGTTCAAATGACCAAACCAATGAATGTGCTGGACTAACAGTTCGAGCAGACTGCAGGCTACAGCAGGGCTCTAGTAGGTTCTAATGGCCCAAGTGTCTGCTCCCTCTTCCTGCTCATTCTCTGCCAATCTGCATGTTGTCAGCTGTGCAAGGCCTTTCTAAAAACCTAAGGAGGTGCCTCCTGCTCCCTGATGACTAGGAGGCAGTTGCTTCTCATGCTCCCTGTGCAGTACACTTATCAAGCAGAAAAAGGTAGGTTCCCTAGATCTCCTTTCTGCACCTCAGTAGAAGAGAGTGCCACTAAAGTCCCAAGTGCCTGTGTGGTTCACTTGAGGCATGACTTCTTCAAATTAACCAAGAAAACTAGCTAAGGACAGACACCGAAGCAGTAAGGCCTTGTTTTGGTTTAAAACCTGAAATCAAACCAGGAGAAAGCTACGATGTTAGCATTTTCACATAGGCATGCTCTTACTCACAGCCTAGAACTCCTGGCTCATCTCTTTTCAGAAATGTAACATATTTTTGCAAAATTATTGTGTGTGTATGTGTGTGTGTGTGTGTGTGTGTGTGTGTGTGTATGGGTATTACAGTCTTTGACTTGAACAAGAACATTGGTCATCAGAGACAAGCTAGCACAAGGTGAAAGCAGCATGAATATTAGTAAGCTTTATTAATATTTTTTGGAGAAAAGGCCTTCTGAATACACCTTTAAGAGGTCTCTCTCTGAGAATCAGGAGGCACTGTTTTGGTAACGCTACTTTGCTTCCTAAGTTTTTGCTTTTCTTCAAAAAATTAAGTGTAAACAAATAACCTCACACTTCAATATCATATCACCATGTTGAGACCTTATTCTCTCCACCTCTCTCCAAATTATGGACCCTGAACGAGTTTGCCTACTGCAACATTAAGCAAAACTGGTTCTGTTTTCCTTTCTTTCCTTCTTCTTGTGGCAGGCATAGTTCTGTCCCCACAGGAAACTCTATGTCTTCAGATACTGTGGAATGCATTTTCATTTCAAATTCTTTTATGTGGTAAGGCTTATTAAACAAACATTGTAATTTTTTTAGAGCCGAACATCTGGTCTCACCCCTTGTCTTACATGTAACCGCTGAGATGAAGAGCATGAAAAGCTCGTTCGGGGTCACGCTTGTAGGCTGGTGGGCTTGGGACGAGAGCCCTGAGCCCTGACTTCCCAGCCAGAGGTAGGTCTGCAAGCTCTAGAAGTCACACGGTCAGCACTGCTACGATCCAGTCGGGCGCCAGAGCAAAGATGCTGGAGACCAGTGTTTCCAGCTCCTATAATATTCCTCTGTTAATAGGCATTATAGGTCTGTATTTAATGCAACTGATTACCATTTAGCAAATTGAGAAGTTACTTCATTTCACTTGGTTACAGAAATCTTATTTTTTGTTGCATCTTATTTGGTGTTGCATCAACCAAACATGTTTGGGGTTTTTTGTTTCTAGTACAGTGGTAAGAGAGGATAGTTCTGCCTCAACATGCTTGTGCCGCAGAGCTCTGAGAGGTACAGTAGGTGTGCTAAGAGAAGAGGCTTTTACAGGTGTGGGAGGGAGGCTTGCTCGGCTTTTTGTGCCTACCAGCGGTATTTCTGATCGCACTTTCTGTGAGTTTTAGATAAGCCTCGGGACTTTCAGGGATCAGTATATCTGCGAAAAGAGCACAGTCTAAGTTGACAGCTAAGTCTGGAAACCGTGATTCCTTGTGGCAGGAAAGTAACTTCCTAGGGAAAAAAGCAAGTTAGTTGTTCTAGATGGATAGCTCTTCAAGACACAGCAGGTGTGCGCACACTCACCAAAAGTTTCCTGAAATAAATCAGACTAAGAGCGCACAGTGATGGACAGGGTTTGATGAGCCAGGCACTGTACTCAGCACTCATTCATCCTCACAGAAACCCTACAGGGTGCACAAAGTATTAGTCCCATCTTATTGATGAGAAAACTGAAGTCCAAACTTATCCAAGTTTCAAGAGCTAGTAAGTGGCAGAACTGGGACTTCAAGCTAGACAGATTCTAGAGTAGCATTGTCCGGTACAAATACTGTGAGCCACAATAGTAATTTTCACTATTCTAGGAGCCACATGAAAGAGTAACAAGAAACAGATGAAATAATGTTAATATTCATTTTACTAAGCCAAGATATCCAAATGATAACATGCAATAAATGTTATTAATTGTCCATTCTTTCTTTGTGCTAAGCCTGAAATTAGTGTATCATCAAAGTGCATTTGACACAGCAAATCCCAATTTTGCACAGTCATGTTCCAGGGCTAGTGCCAGTCACATGTGGCTAGTGGCCTCATATTGGATGGGGCTGCTTTAGGCGAGAAATGCCTATTAGGCTATACTGTAAAGATAAAATAGAAATGAGAGAAATCATTTTCTTTTTAGAAAAGTCATATCCTTGGGAATCCAAGTGTGAACCATCAGAAATAAGCAGAAATTTCCTTTTAAAGAATGGATGAGATGCATTTAAAAGTGCTACAAATTCACTTCCAATTATTTATTCTTTTTTTACTCCCCTTCTTACAATGCTCCTCTTTCTCTTTCCACCCCTTCACCATATACATGTCCTGCGGGGATTGTCCTTGTTTCCCTTTATGTGCTCTTGCTGTGTGGTTTCCTGCCCTCCCTCAGGGACAATCACCATTCACATGTGGCTATGCAACCCATCTGCATTCCCACTGGAATCTTCTAAAGTATCTCAGACTCAGGCTGTGCAGAGCTGAGCTCCTTGCCTCCCTGCTTCTCGCTGCCCTGCCCTGGGCCCACAGACCCCCCGGCCTTCTCCCTGTCCTGCAGTCCTCAGGTCAGCGAGATGCCCAGGGCAGGAAATGGCCTCAATCGCAGTTCAGTCAACCATCAGTTACGGAGACTCCTCATGATTTCTCACATGTTCTCCCTTCTCTCTCTTCCCAATGCTGGCTGCTGCCTTAGTTCAGGCCACCATCATCTCTCTGCCGTGGGTCATAAAAAGTTTCCATTTGGACTCTCTTCCAATTGCCTTCTTCTATTGTTCTTTGAAAACAGGCATCTGATCACATCACCTCCCTTCTTACAGCCTGCGGTGGCTCTCCATTGCCTTCAGGATAAAAACCGAAGCCCTGTCCGTGATGAACACGCACTCTATGCCCAGGTCCAGGTTTGTCTTGCCACCTCCTCTCTGTCCACTGCATGCCTTCCAGTCTATATATAGCCTTGTCGTTCTGGACAACCTTCAGGTGAACAGTGGCCAATCAGGCTGAGACGGGCACCCTTAATTTTCTTCCTCTGAACACTGCTACTACATCCACCTGACTGACTCGTAATCGTCCTTCAGGTTGCAGCTCAAGAGTCTCCCCCTAAAGCCTCTCCTCAAAGCTCCAGGTCAGTCACCCCTTGGTTGTGCTTCTACACCAGCACTTGTACACGTATATGCTATCGTAGTGCCAAACATTTCACACAGACGTTTCTTATTTGTGTGTGCTCCATACCATAGTGGAAGCTCTTTGAGAGGAAAGGAACTGTGCATCCCAATACTTACAAAGTGCTTGTGACACAGTATGAACAAAAGTATATTTTGATAATTTTTGTATTTGCCAATCACATTATATCCGATTATTCCATTATGTACAATTTCCCCTAATGCAGAAGAAGGAAGGTGATTCTGCTTAGCTTACATATTTCCAGTACAATATATATTCTTTTGTACTTCCTTTCAAGCCGATATACAGGTAGAGTTCTTTCCTACCTGATAAGCCAACAGCTCCCTGGAGGTAGAAATCTTTATCTTCCTGCCTCTCTTCATCCTCGGAGGGCAGAGTCCTGGACGCAGCTGACTCCAGGTCACGACTGAGGTCATAGTCATGGTCCCACTCCAGGGGGATGGAGTCCACGCTGGCAGGGGTGTCTCGTCCCGACCGCTCGCTCCGCAGGGGCTGGGCGAGGGAGAGGGAGGGGTTGGAGGAAGGCTGGGGGGAAAGCACGCTGTCCGCAGAGGTGTCGCGCCAGCGGAGGTCCGAGAGCGCCGCGGAGTCGTCCAGCTCCGGCTCTCGGTCGGAGAGGTCGGGCTCATCCTCTGGGAGCTGGAATGCAGGCCGGCCAACCCGGTTACCTCGACGGCCGCCCGGCCCCCTTCCTCCCGCCTGTCCCGCCTCTCGACAAATCTCCGCCCTTCAGCTCATCTGGGCCGCCTCCTGCCTCGGCGGGGATAACTTTAAACGTACTGTCATCAAATAAGTAAGATTCTTCTGGTCCTTTTTTAAAATGTCTTATAAATTAATCTATCAGAACCTCAGCTTTACCACTGAAAAATGGGAAGAATATGAAAACCTACTTCAAAGAACTGATTCAAGATTAAATAACCTAATGTAAATAAAGGCAACCTGGTACTTCATCACCTGCCATGCAATAAGTACACAATGGCACTTATCAGGAACAAAAGAAAATTACTGATAAAGTGCCAGCTGGTCCTTTTTTACATTATATTACACATACAAACTATATTGTATCACAGAAAATTCCAAGTATTCCAATAATAACCTCTTGCCAATAAGATGTAACTATGGTAGCAATAAGGGAAGTGGAAGAGAAAAAAAAATCAACTAAACAACCTCACCAAATGAGCAATTGTTTACATTGCTTTCACCCCTTTTTTCTTCCAGAAGCTTCATCTTCCTTAGAAGATATGTGCCAAGTACTCGTCTAAGCTCTTTATATGCACCTTAACTCACTTCATGCATAAGGTAATCCTCTCTACAAGGCAGGTACTGTTATGAAAACAGCTTTAGTGGTTGAGGAAACTGAGGCAGGAGACAAGAAGCGACTTGCCCAAGGCTGCAAAGCCAGTATGTCAGCACCGGGACCGGCACCCAGGTGTCTGGCTCGAGTCCCACCCGCTCTACGATGCTATCTTATCCCCCACCATTAATTCTCTTTAGATTTCACGACAACGAAAAGAAGAACGTACAGGCAGGCGGGTCAGTTTCTCATGGTATCTGTCCACGCGCCCGAACACCTCCTGGCGGTACCGCCGGAGCTCGTCCAGCTCCTCCTCGATGACCGCCGCATCCAGGGGCTCACTCTTCTCTATCAGCTGCTCTCCTTGGGCAAAGATCTGCTCCATCTTGTCGTGGTTCAGTGAAATTTCCTGCTGGAAAGCCTAGGGAGCCCAAGTCTCATGTCATTTTTTTATTGCCCACATTGACATGGAATGATCGTAAGATACATATTTAGAAAAACCACGTAGGGGATACTGAATTTACTATATACAATGACAAGCCAAGAAGCTATTTACTTTCTAAAGTACAGCATAAAATTTTTAAACAAGAACAGGAGTCAGAAATAGAATCGTTAGAATTCCATGACCAGAAAGGTGTCTTTGGCCAATAAAATTTACCGCCATGAACAATGTGGGTAAAGAATCAAAGGAAAACAATTCAAACTCATCATAAAAGTTGATAGCACTGGTTATCCTTGATGAAAAGCAATGCAAGGTCACTGAAATAAATTTAGCATTTTTAAGAATTATGGTTGAATATTTTAATTTTGGATTTCCTGATCACAGGTCAAACATGACTAAGGGAAACCATTCAAATGACAATTAATGTCACAAATTTTTCTCAGATGATTCTTTTATTGTTTCAGGGCATAGACAGGGAAGACAATTATATAATTATTTGGAAAACAAGGAATTCTGGAGGATTACACTCATTCTATGTGGCTCAAGAGTGTTAAGCTACTGGTGTTAAGTTTCAGAGGATAAATTTTAATACAAGAATACTCTGAAATAGTTGAAACTGTCCAATAAAAAAAATTACCAGGGGGGGAAAGGAGGGTGTTGGTAAATTCTATGGATACTGTGTGAGTCCAAAAAAGAAAAGATTCAACTACCATTTGATAGAAATTTCCAGGTGAAGGTTCAAATACTGATTTGCCTGTGAAATGATTTGGGAGAAGTAGTGGCGGTAGAGGGGATGATGGGGAGAGGGGATGCACAGGACGTCAGTGTTAATTATTATATTTTTTTAATAACTCTGTAATTAAAGAATCTATAATTAAAGGCCAATTCCTTGTTTTATTGTAACAACCTGAGGTTATGGGCATAGTGGTTTCCTGCCCTCCCTCAGGGACAATCACCATTCACATGTGGCTATGCAACCCATCTGCATTCCCACTGGAATCTTCTAAAGTATCTCAGACTCAGGCTGTGCAGAGCTGAGCTCCTTGCCTCCCTGCTTCTCGCTGCCCTGCCCTGGGCCCACAGACCCCCCGGCCTTCTCTCTGTCCTGCAGTCCTCAGGTCAGCGAGATGCCCAGGGCAGGAAATGGCCTCAATCGCAGTTCAGTCAACCATCAGTTACGGAGACTCCTCATGATTTCTCACATGTTCTCCCTTCTCTCTCTTCCCAATGCTGGCTGCTGCCTTAGTTCAGGCCACCATCATCTCTCTGCCGTGGGTCATAAAAAGTTTCCATTTGGACTCTCTTCCAATTGCCTTCTTCTATTGTTCTTTGAAAACAGGCATCTGATCACATCACCTCCCTACTTACAGCCTGCGGTGGCTCTCCATTGCCTTCAGGATAAAAACCGAAGCCCTGTCCGTGATGAACACGCACTCTATGCCCAGGTCCAGGTTTGTCTTGCCACCTCCTCTCTGTCCACTGCATGCCTCCCAGTCTATATATAGCCTTGTCGTTCTGGACAACCTTCAGGTGACCAGTGGCCAATCAGGCTGAGATGGGCACCCTTAATTTTCTTCCTCTGAACACTGCTACATCCACCTGACTGACTCGTAATCGTCCTTCAGGTTGCAGCTCAAGAGTCTCCCCCTAAAGCCTCTCCTCAAAGCTCCAGGTCAGTCACCCCTTGGTTGTGCTTCTACACCAGCACTTGTACACGTATATGCTATCGTAGTGCCAAACATTTCACACAGACGTTTCTTATTTGTGTGTGCTCCATACCATAGTGGAAGTTCTTTGAGAGGAAAGGAACTGTGCATCCCAATACTTACAAAGTGCTTGTGACACAGTATGAACAAAAGTATATTTTGATAATTTTTGTATTTGCCAATCACATTATATCCGATTATTCCATTATGTACAATTTCCCCTAATGCAGAAGAAGGAAGGTGATTCTGCTTAGCTTACATATTTCCAGTACAATATATATTCTTTTGTACTTCCTTTCAAGCCGATATACAGGTAGAGTTCTTTCCTACCTGATAAGCCAACAGCTCCCTGGAGGTAGAAATCTTTATCTTCCTGCCCCTCTTCATCCTCGGAGGGCAGAGTCCTGGACGCAGCTGACTCCAGGTCACGACTGAGGTCATAGTCATGGTCCCACTCCAGGGGGATGGAGTCCACGCTGGCAGGGGTGTCTCGTCCCGACCGCTCACTCCGCAGGGGCTGGGCGAGGGAGAGGGAGGGGTTGGAGGAAGGCTGGGGGGAAAGCACGCTGTCCGCAGAGGTGTCGCGCCAGCGGAGGTCCGAGAGCGCCGCGGAGTCGTCCAGCTCCGGCTCTCGGTCGGAGAGGTCGGGCTCATCCTCTGGGAGCTGGAATGCAGGCCGGCCAACCCGGTTACCTCGACGGCCGCCCGGCCCCCTTCCTCCCACCTGTCCCGCCTCTCGACAAATCTCCGCCCTTCAGCTCATCTGGGCCGCCTCCTGCCTCGGCGGGGATAACTTTAAACGTACTGTCATCAAATAAGTAAGATTCTTCTGGTCCTTTTTTAAAATGTCTTATAAATTAATCTATCAGAACCTCAGCTTTACCACTGAAAAATGGGAAGAATATGAAAACCTACTTCAAAGAACTGATTCAAGATTAAATAACCTAATGTAAATAAAGGCAACCTGGTACTTCATCACCTGCCATGCAATAAGTACACAATGGCACTTATCAGGAACCAAAGAAAATTACTGATAAAGTGCCAGCTGGTCCTTTTTTACATTATATTACACATACAAACTATATTGTATCACAGAAAATTCCAAGTATTCCAATAATAACCTCTTGCCAATAAGATGTAACTATGGTAGCAATAAGGGAAGTGGAAGAGAAAAAAAAATCAACTAAACAACCTCACCAAATGAGCAATTGTTTACATTGCTTTCACCCCTTTTTTCTTCCAGAAGCTTCATCTTCCTTAGAAGATATGTGCCAAGTACTCGTCTAAGCTCTTTATATGCACCTTAACTCATTTCATGCATAAGGTAATCCTCTCTACAAGGCAGGTACTGTTATGAAAACAGCTTTAGTGGTTGAGGAAACTGAGGCAGGAGACAAGAAGCGACTTGCCCAAGGCTGCAAAGCCAGTATGTCAGCGCCGGGACCGGCACCCAGGTGTCTGGCTCCAGAGTCCCACCCGCTCTACGATGCTATCTTATCCCCCACCATTAATTCTCTTTAGATTTCACGACAACGAAAAGAAGAACGTACAGGCAGGCGGGTCAGTTTCTCATGGTATCTGTCCACGCGCCCGAACACCTCCTGGCGGTACCGCCGGAGCTCGTCCAGCTCCTCCTCGATGACCGCCGCATCCAGGGGCTCACTCTTCTCTATCAGCTGCTCTCCTTGGGCAAAGATCTGCTCCATCTTGTCGTGGTTCAGTGAAATTTCCTGCTGGAAAGCCTAGGGAGCCCAAGTCTCATGTCATTTTTTTATTGCCCACATTGACATGGAATGATCGTAAGATACATATTTAGAAAAACCACGTAGGGGATACTGAATTTACTATATACAATGACAAGCCAAGAAGCTATTTACTTTCTAAAGTACAGCATAAAATTTTTAAACAAGAACAGGAGTCAGAAATAGAATCGTTAGAATTCCATGACCAGAAAGGTGTCTTTGGCCAATAAAATTTACTGCCATGAACAATGTGGGTAAAGAATCAAAGGAAAACAATTCAAACTCATCATAAAAGTTGATAGCACTGGTTATCCTTGATGAAAAGCAATGCAAGGTCACTGAAATAAATTTAGCATTTTTAAGAATTATGGTTGAATATTTTAATTTTGGATTTCCTGATCACAGGTCAAACATGACTAAGGGAAACCATTCAAATGACAATTAATGTCACAAATTTTTCTCAGATGATTCTTTTATTGTTTCAGGGCATAGACAGGGAAGACAATTATATAATTATTTGGAAAACAAGGAATTCTGGAGGATTACACTCATTCTATGTGGCTCAAGAGTGTTAAGCTACTGGTGTTAAGTTTCAGAGGATAAATTTTAATACAAGAATACTCTGAAATAGTTGAAACTGTCCAATAAAAAAAATTACCAGGGGGGGAAAGGAGGGTGTTGGTAAATTCTATGGATACTGTGTGAGTCCAAAAAAGAAAAGATTCAACTACCATTTGATAGAAATTTCCAGGTGAAGGTTCAAATACTGATTTGCCTGTGAAATGATTTGGGAGAAGTAGTGGCGGTAGAGGGGATGATGGGGAGAGGGGATGCACAGGACGTCAGTGTTAATTATTATATTTTTTTAATAACTCTGTAATTAAAGAATCTATAATTAAAGGCCAATTCCTTGTTTTATTGTAACAACCTGAGGTTATGGGCATTATAATCATTCTTAAAAACAAAACAAAACAAAAACAAACTAACTATCCTGGGAAGAAAATTTCAAAAACTGCCTTGCTCATTATTCAAGTTATTAAACATTCTTCTCTTAGGGAATTAATATATCTGATGAATATCCCTCTTGTTTACACTAGTCACTGTGTTTGAGTTACACAGTGAAACATATCAAATATGCTTTAAAATTAACTTGGTATCTACAAATGCAGACTATGTGGAATGAAATCTCCAATTTGAAGGTGCTTGAAACATATCAGAAAAAACAAAAGCAAAAACCAGAAATGAAGATTCCTTAACACCTGCAATCATATTAATAGTTAAAAATATCTAGGTTAATGGTAGTTATTACCGGGTGATGCTCTTTATTTAATTTTTAATATTTGTATTTTCTGAAATTTTTTTCTATCAAGAACTTATTTTTTAAAGAGTCCTCTATGTTCTTTACTAAAGGGTCTACAAATCTCTCCTTTCTTCGGACTGATAATGTGAAAAATCACTGATCTATTACCTTGAGTTGTTTTATTTTAGCTTGAACATCACACTCGGAAAAATGCTCAATATTCGTGAGCTGTAGGTCCATTTCCGTCAGCCACACCAGAATGCTGTCCCGGGCAGTTTCGAACTCCTCACGCTGACCAATGAAATGCTGGATGTGAAAAGAAAATAATTAAAATGGAAAAGTCCACATACACACACTGAGATGGCATTGCCCATTCCAGTGTTCTTCTGTAAAGTCACTTTCTCAACAAGCAATGAGAGTCCTGCAATCCGTCACCATACACACTGACCCTGGATACCCCCGTGCCAGCCCAATGTTATGAAGCTGCTGAGATTATGTCTGAATACTGAATACATATTTTCAAATGGCCCAACGCTGTCTTTCGGGCCTCTGAGCCGAGGGCAGGCACAGTAAGGACCTTGAGTCTGCGCAGGATGGAGGTGGCGCGCTTCTGCAGGTCGTCCCATCTCTGGTTGCCTTCGTGAACCATCTGCTTCAGGCTACAGGCAGAATCCGTGCGGTTCTCTCTCGCCAGGCGGCGGTACTGCTTGTTGATGAGCTCTAGCTGGGTCAGGCTCTCGTGGACCTGTCTCTGGAAAGCCTGAGACCACAGAGAAGCGCATCAGTGAGGAAGACCAATGAAGGGCTCTCAACAAACATGCCTGGGCCTCATATTTCAGTGTCAGAGACAATGGGAAGCCACAAGGTCATTGACAGGGAAAGGACAATTTTAATGAGCATCTACTTCCCCTTGTTAAAGCAAAGTAATGTGGTCAATGTAGCTTAAGGAAGGGAACTGGATCAAAGAAAAATATAAAAGAAAATGGTAAAGAGTAATATTCATATGTATGTGTGTGTGTAGGTATATATATATACATACACACACACAGATACACATATATAACATATACATATATAGAATGAATATACATACACATATGAAATATACATATATACATACAAGATAATTAACAGCCTGAAAAAAATTTTCTCATGAAACAAATTGATTACAAAAATGTTTATGTGTGCTGAAATGTGAGTTCTGAATGTTCAAAATTTCCAATGTCAATACTGAGAAAAGATATCTACAGTTAAACTAGGCGTAAACTATATAATTTCCTAAAAATCTAGAAACTGCCTCAATTCTGGGTCTATTAAAAAAAAATTAAAACTGCAGAAGATCCTCTAAGTGCAAGCTATCACTAACTTTTAAGAAAAGCAGTTTGCTAAAATGTAAGTAACCCAAGACAGAATAAAGTTTGGAACATACTGTTTCCTTTTTGTTGCTCTCATAAATTACTCGGTGTGTATAAAACATTTTAGAGCTGATGGATCACCTTACATATTAGTGTCTTTACTTTTGAGGTTACCCTACAGTTTCTGAAGGTAAATACTCTTTTTTCTTTCCCTCTGCAATACACCATTGCCCTAGCATAAAAATCATTTGGCCAAAAGAAAATGAATATTTTTTTTCAAACTCGTATGTATGACTTATGACTGATTTTTATCCTGGCATTAGATGGAAAATTATAAAATTAACTGGTCTGTACTCATCTAAATCTCAAAGTTCTGCTTTCTTTGGCCTATCACAGTGTTTACATTTTACCACATTTCTGCTTCTGAAATGGTGTTCCTTCTGAGAGCTGCTTTAAGAGTCTTCATCTTAGTAAATTCAATCTTCTATGCTATAAGATTTTGAATTATTTCCCCAGAAAAGGAGGTGGTGAGGAAAGTCGGCTTTTGCCACTGTGGGAAGTCATGGAGTATGTTTTCCCACTGGAGTGATGGCAGATACCCCAGCACACCCAGATGCACTGCAAGTTTTTACGCAACTGAACAGGGAAAGGCTTTCCTCATGCGAAATTTCGTTTTTGTGATTTATTTCTGTCTTTTAAAGGAATTAACTATAAGATAAATGGTAAGCGCATTCATTCTAGAGGCTAATTATATGGCTAACTTTTGCCATAAAATCTGAGAGTCTAAAATAGCATCAAAAAGCATCTTATATAATCTGCTTTGTAGAAATAAGCCAATTATAAAGGTTTTAACCTTTAGGAAGCTGAGCATAGTAAGATGCAGGACCTGAATACTTCCACTAGCACTGGGTCATATCGGGGTGACCTGAAATCTTTCAGAGCTTACTGTAACTTTTTCCTAGAAGTTTTCTAAGGGAAAACCTTTTAGACAGAAACATTTCTTTTTCTAGAATTCAGTGGTATGGTTACATATAAATCCATATTCAGATATGCAAATCACTCTTACTTGTTTCATATAGTAACTGAAAATTTTAATATATCTCTATAGCTGCCCATCTATGATACTTAGATTTTAAATCCCATTCAGAACAGAACCCACATTTCATATTTAATACAACAGTCTTCTATAAATGCCTGGCTGACTGACATCACAAGGAAAAAATGAATCCTGCTGGATCTGATTGATTTTTAAGTCTTAGTCTTAAAAATCTCAGGGTGTTTGGGAAAGACAAATTAGCAATCAAAGATGATTTTTTTGTAGGTTATATGCTTCAGAAGAACTGTTTGCTGCCAAATTATATGAGTATACACCTGCCTATCAGTGGAAACTGATGGGAAAAGAAATTTCAAATTAAAAAATGGTCAGTTTAGGTTATGCCAGGTCGTCTGTGAAAGAAAGAGGCAGCTGAGAGGCAGGGGCTTCATTGTGTTACAAGGATAGAGCAGGCTCAAGATTGTACAAGCAGGCAAGGACATGGCATCAGTTATCAAATGATTCCTTTATTATGAATATGATTATACTGCTGCTATTTTTATCTGTATGTCATTGAAAAAGTCTTAGTGACTCAAGAAAGGCAGTGCTCTTCACTGGTAATTAGAGATGGCTTATAATTAAAATGTTTTGTTCAATTCTGTAGCCGACTCCAGTTTATCAATGATTTAAAAAAATACATATCTATGCTCCAATTACATTAAAAAAAACAAGAAAATATATTTGGAAGGTAGATTTTTTTTATATCATGGAAAACCATCATATTTTAATCTTAGATGGTTGATGATGGAGATTTATGAAATAAAAAGAATGCCAAGATCTTTCATGGGGAATCACTATTCTTGTTTTCTAATAGAATTTCTCTTCCTTACTACTCTACTTGCAATTCTTGATAATCTTAAAATAAAGCCCTCCTTTGCATACTTATGAGGTAATAATAACAATGACTACAAAGTCATCATCCCACTGTTTGAACAAATAACTTGTGGGTGAACAGTTTGTTTATGTTGTGGGACACCAACTACCAGCAGGCTACTCTCATTGCAAAATTTAATCGTTAGATTAAGTATTTGGAATTACAAGTCACCTCAAATTTCTTTAGTTCTTCCTTGGCAACTGTATAGAGCACCCCAGAAGAGCTGGGGAAGGCAGCTGTCCTTTCCGAAACCTTGAGCCAGTCTTCAAAACGAGAATAGTCATCCAGAAACTTCTGCCACAACCGCCACGTCTCTTCAATTCTGAGACAGAAAATGAAAGGACAGAATCTGGTTTTTGAGGCCATTTGTGCTCCGGAACCCTGTCTGATGCCTGCAACAGGATTAAGAGCGTCTAAACAAGCAACTGCTGTGCCAAACAATAACTGTGCCTTGAGCCAAATTTGACCAGAGTGAAAAAGACAACTGTTTGAGCTAAAACGGAACAGCTGTGTGTTTTGTTTTGCTTTGTTTTTAAACACACATCCTGCAGCTCTGGAGTTAGAGTTACCCAAATTGAGTATTATAAGCACATAATGTGAGCTGTGCTGGAGATGTGCAAGAAGTTTAGAAGTGCAACACCATGACTGCCGTGCACACTCATGCCAAAGTTCTGCTGAAACAACACCAAGGTTTGCAAATCCATTTAAGTACAACATCAAATTCAGGCTCGTCAAAATCAACCTAAGACAGCAAGACAAACACTAACCTTTCAAGAGCTCCCCAGAGAGCATCAAGATTATGTGCCTTAAAACATTATGGCAATTTTCTAACATATCACTGTTTTTTCCTGCTTTGAATTTCAAAGGGTTTTTCACACTACCAATTCTGTAACATTATACTTGTTCAGCAAGGGCATATTTTAATTTTTCTCAATTACATTTAATCTGTTAGGTCAGGAGTAATTTGGCTTGTTATTTTTATAGATGAGTCCCCATTTTATCCACAGGGGATACATTACACGACTCCAGCAGTACCTGAAGCTGTGAATAGTACTAAACCCTACCTATGCTATGCTCTTTCCTATACATTAGCTATGATAAAGTTTAATTTACAAATCAGGCATGGTAAGAGATAAATAATAATAACCAATAATAAAATAGGGCAGTTACAACAATATATTAAAAATTATGTGAATGTGGTCTCTCTCTCTCTCTCTGAATGTATGTTATTGTACTGCCTTCAGCCTTTTCTTGTGACAATGTCAGATGGCAAAATGCCCGTGTGATAAGAAGAAGTGAGATGAATGATGTTGGTAGGCACTGTGATGCAGTGTCAGGTGACTACTGACCTTACGCTACCTCAGAAGGAGGGTAATCTGGTTCTGGACCATGGTTGACCATGCACAACTGAAGCCGCCGATAAGGGGGGGTATTATATTACCTTTATACCTGCTTATTTTCACAACTAAATGTAAATGATGGCAAGTTTGTGAAACCAAAGCTATTTTTGAGCATTGTAACACAGTGGGAATAGTGAACAATGGATACTCTGGGTAGTTTTGTATTCTTCATTGGGTCCTTCCCCTGTCCCCACTGTTTGAACATCCCAGCTTACTTGAGCCTTCGTTCCATAGACATAGCACAGATATTTCTCCATCGCCGGTCCAGGTTCCGCGTAGCCTGCTGGATGGAATCGCACTCGGCGTCTGTGGCACAAGCATCACAGTCATGTAGTAGGACCTCACACAGGTTGAGGACAGAAGCCACACCCGTGCTGTGTTTCTCTATGTCTCTCTGGAGCTCCTGTAGGGAATAAGCAATGCTCTATCAAATATTTTCAGGCAGATGGGGGAAATTGCAGTAGTACTTGTTGGCTGATAAATGGTTAGGCAAAACCTTGACAGATATTTCATTTTCTTGAATGCATGAGGTTTCTTCAACATCATTTATGACGTACTGCAGGTTCAAAAGAATGAGAAAATGAATTTAGAAATATTTGGGCTCTGTGAGCAATGTCAAAGTGTAAAGTGAAGAATTAAAGAGATATTAACTAAATTAATTAATATCATTAGTGATTGAAAAATGAATATTGTCCCAGACTCTGCTTCATAGATATGTCACTTCCATTCCACCCATCATCAATCAATCAAAGGCATACATGTGTTCCTGCTAAGAGCTGGTGCTCAAGAACTGGGATTTGATCTTCAAAGATCTGCAAACTGTTTTAAACAGTTAATTCACCATCATTAAAAGGTACCATGCTTTAAGGGACCTAGGTTCTTTATCATGTATGACATCATTACCATCGACAGCTTCCTCAGTGAATAATTTTAAATGTAGGACAGAAATAGAAAGATTATGTCAATAATCAAGGCAGTGAATTTCTCCATTCCTACTATGTGAAGTCTTCATATTAAATGCATAGACTATACATGCAAAATGTACATCATTTTTTCTATTGAGCTTCGCATTCAATTTATTCATTCAGTGTTCCCCTATTAAAAGTAAGGTTTACAAGTATCAGTTTTTATTTGTCCTATTCATCAAGGCTTTACTGTATTTACCTTTTCTTGACACAGTTCTCAAACTTGCCTAGCTTTTCTCCTGTCCTAATGATAATTCCCTAACTACTCAGACAGCTGGGATTTATTTTCTTGTGTGAATATTCTTCCTATTTTCCCCCTTAACACCATGTTCCAATGTCTTCTATATAAACATGAGCTTATTGTTGAGTGCAACAACAGTGGATTTGAGTAATTTTTAGATTTTATACATTAGATTCAGGAAAATAAATTCAATCAAAAATACTTATATTTCACTAAATAGTTCTTTCAAATCTCTTGCATAATTTCCTTCAGTTATATAGAAGTTATAACAGAAATTGATGGTCTAAAACACAAAATGAAATACTACAAAAACTGAACTCAATATTTGCTCAAAGATAAAGACAGAGACTTCTGTGAATGAGATCACCAAGTAAATCTTAGGGCCTTAAAGTGCATTTTGCACAAGGATATATATTTGGAAGAAGTGTTAGGTACCTGCACATAATCCATGCATTTAAAGAAGTTACAGCATTTTGACTTAATTTTCCCCAAGTACTCAAAAGTGTTTTTCTCTAGCTTTGTTGAGATATAATTGACATATAACATCGTGTAAGTTTAAGGTGTACAATCTGATGAGTTGATTTATGTATATATTGTGAAATGATTATCACAATAAATTTCGTTAACATCCATCAGCTCACATAGTTATAATTTGTGTGTGTATGTTGAGAACTTTTGAGATCTACTGTATTGGCAAAAGTTTTGAAAATATAGTACTGTATGATAGCCAAGAAATGGAAGGAACCTAAGTGTCCATCAGTAGATGAATGGATAAAGAAGATGTGGTACATATACACAATGGAATATTATTCAGCCATAAGAGGAAAACAAATCCTACCATTTGCAACAACATGGATGGAGCTAGAGGGTATTATGCTCAGTGAAATAAGCCAGGTGGAGAAAGACAAGTACCAAATGATTTCATTCATACGTGGAGTATAAGAACAAAGAAAAACTGAAGGAACGAAATAGCAGCAGAATCACAGAACCCAAGAATGTACTAACAGTTACCAAAGGGAAAGGGACTGGGGAGGATGGGTGGGAAGGAAGAGATAAGAGATTACCGTAGGTTTGTAATATCATTTGAAATCTGGAAGTATGCTGCTTACACTTTATCCTTCTTCCTCAAGATTGTTCTGGCTATTCTTTTGTAGTTCCATATAAAGTTTAGATTGTTTTTTCTATCTCTGTAAAAAATGCATTGGAATTTTGATAGGGATTGCACTGAGTCTACAAATGGCTTGGTTGTATGCACATTTTAACAATATTATTTCTTCCAATCCACAAACATGGAATATCTTTCCATTTATTTGTGTCTTCTTCAGTATCATATAGTTTTCAGTGTATAGCTCTTTCACATCCCTGGTTAAATTAATTCATAGATATTTTATTGTTTTTGATGCCATTGTAAACAGGATTTTTGTTTGTTTCTTGTTCAGGTAATTCATTGTTGATGCATAGGAACAACTGATTTTTATACACTGAATTTGTATCCTACAACTTTACTGAATTGTTTCTTCTAATAGCTTTTTAGTGGAGTCTTTAGGATATTCTATGTATATCATGTCATCTACAGAGACAATTTTACATCTTCCTTTTTTATCTGGATGTCTTTAGTTTATTTTTCTTGCCTGATTGCTCTGGACAGGACTTCTAGTACTATGCTGAATGGACTAGTAAGACTAGGCATCCTTGTATTGTTCTTGGATGTTAGCTGTGGGTTTGTCATAAATGGCCATTATTATGTTGAGGTACATTCCTTCTATATCTAATTTGTTGAGAATTTTTATCATTTGAATTTTTTTCAAATGCTTTATCTGCATCTATTGAGATGATTATATGATCTTTCTTCCATTTGAGTAATGTGATGTATCACATTCACTGATTTGCATATGTTGAACCATTCTTGTATCCCAGGGATGAATCCAACTTGATCATAGTGTATGATACTGTTCACATACTGTTAAAAGTCTTGCTTGTACTTTGGTGAGAATTTTTACATCTATATTCATTAGGGATATTGGTCTATAGTTTTTTTTCTGTGGTATCCTTATCTGGCATTAGAATCAGGGTAATGCTTACCTCATAAAATGAGTTTGAGGGTGTTCCCTTCTTTTCAATTTTTTTTCTTTTGAAGAGTGATAATGATTGGCTTTAAAGGATTGGTTTTAAATGTTTCATAATTTAATCTGTGAAACCATCTGGTCCTGGACTTTTCTTTGTTGGGAGGGTTTTGATTACCGATTCAGTCTTCTTATTCATTATTGGTCTGTTCAGATTTTCTGTTTCTTCATGACTCGGTCTTGGTAGGTTATATGTTTCTAGGAATTTATGCATGTTTTCTAAGTTGTCCAATTTGTTGGCATATAATTGTTCACAGTAGTCTTATCATTTGTATTTCTGTTAATGCATCCATTTTCATTTATAACTTTTTCCTTGGTTAGTCGAGCTGAAGGTGTGTCACTTTTGTTTATCATTTCAAAGCACCAACTCAGTTTTGTTACTCTTTTCTTTCGTTTTTCTTTCCTCTGTTTCACTTATTTCTGCCCTAATCTTTGTTATTTCCTTGCTTCTGCCAACTTTGGACTTAGTTTGTTCCTTTTCTCATTCCCTGAGGTATCAAGTTAGGTTGTTTATTTGAGACTTTCTTTTTTTAATGAAGGCATTTATCACCATAAACTTCTCTCTTGAAATTGCTTTTGCAACCTGTGCTCTGTGATCCTACAGGGTTGCAGGCTGTGTCTTGGAGGTGGATGAGGCCACAATCTCGGCTTTGCCTTTCGGTAGGTCACTAACTTTCTCCCATGTTGAGCAAGGTTGCTGGCTGTGCTCTCCAGTTAGGAGGGCTCCAGTTGTATCCCACAGTGAGTGGGGCTAGAAACTGTACTCCACGGTCAAGTTAGGTCACGACCAGGCTTTCTTGATGGGTGGGGCTGCAGGCTATTCTTAGTGATTGAGTGGGATTACTGGCTGGGCGCTCTGCCTGAGCTAGTTTGCAGGCTGTGTTCAGTAATCAGACAGGGTCCACAGTAGGATTCCACTGCTGAATGGGGTTGAAGTATGGGCAACATGGTTGGGTTGGGTTGTTGGCTGGGCTCTATAGCTGGGTGGGGCTATAGGTTGGGCTCTCAGGCTGCCCAGGGTCACTATTCAGGCTCTCTGGTTATGTGGGGCCAGAGCCTATGCTCAACAATTGGGTTGGGCTGCTGGATTGGCTCCCTGCCCAAGCAGGGCTGTTGGATGGGCTCTGTGGCTTCCTGGGTTCTGTGCCAGGCTTCCTGGAGGGGCAGGATGGAGGCAATGCTCAGCTGTTAGGCAGGGCTGGGAATTTGCTTCCCTGCCCAGGCTGGGTGGTAGAAAGGGCTCCAAGCCTAGTATGACTTGTTTCTGGGGACGCAAATCAGGCAGAACTGCCAACTGAGCTCCCAGGTCAGAGAGAACCACTGAATGAGAGGAGATGCAGGCTGGATCTCCGGCTGGGTGCAGCTGCAAGCATAAATGCAGTCCACAATGATTGATCTGAGTGCTGCTTATTGTAAGCAACAGCCCACTTCTCCATCTCAATCTGATCTCCAGTGGTCAAACTCCACCGATTCCTCTAGTGATCCCCATGAGGAGAGACTCCAGTGGGCCCCTGGAAAACATCCCACAATGCTGAGGAAGCTGGATATTCACCATGGCCTCTTTTTCCTAATGGAGAAATTGTAGGCTGAGGGTGGAAACTCCTGGTGCAATGCTGTACCAGCCTAGTTCAGGGGTGATGTGGTCAGAATGCAGCTGTTCCTCTTTCCCTTCTAATATGGGCCTTCCTAGTGTCTGTGGTCTGGGGGGTGCTTCAGTTTCACCCCCGGTTCTGGTATTTTCACAATGGTGTCTTACCTAATCTAAGGATAGTTGTGTGCTGGTCTTCTTGTTAGGGAGACTTAAATCAGGAATGACCTATGTCAACATTTGAATGACACCACTCCTCCCCTTCTGAATCTGTGCTAGAGCAGAGACTCATGGGGGGAACCACAGTGGGAACCAGTGTCGAGGCATGAAAACCAGAACTGCAACAGATGCACTGCTAGAGGCTCAGGGTGAACAATTCTGAGCATGAAAAATTCCACAGGACCCAGTCAGAGGGGAGTCCCACAATTTTGTGAGATTTACCTCCAGGAGCTTGACCAGATTTCCATAGTAAACATAGGAGAAAAATCCCCTTGTGCTTCTGCCCAAAAGTTTTTGTTAAAATCAATATATGAAATAAGGCTTGAAGGGTTTTATAGTTATATATAAGTGCCTCAGGACATAAAGATTTTAGTCTCAGCTTTAACCTCCATTGGGAATGGTCTCAAATGGTCATACAGTGTCTCTGAATTTATTCTTAATCTCTAACAGAGAGATTTGATAAAATATTTTCGGAAGCCATCTCAAGTCTACAGCTATTTCTGCCCAATTAAAAATTGTCTATAAGAATTAAACATATTGGCAAGAGAAACATACACAAGCTCCACATAGAGACATAGTAGAAAATGTATTAATTTATTCTACGTACTTATTTCTTTCAATTCTTACAAATTTACTCTATATATTTGCCAGAATTTTTCCCCTTTGGAGATATTTGTTATTTATCTTTCTTTTACAACTTGAACTCCACTGCTAAAATTTTTACAGAGTTGTGGTCAAACACTTTTCACCAAGGTAACTGTAGTAAATATATGATTAAAATAAAATTTACTTAGGATCTACTTTGTGCGAGGTACTGTGTTAAGTGCTTTTCTCATTAGTTTGTACAGTAACACTGTGAGCCACATAATGCTGATTATTAGCATTCTATACATAAGGAATTTGATGGTGAAAATAGTTTATTATTTTGTCCCAGGTCACACGGAAAAGTGGTAAGGCTAGGATCTGAACCCAGGAAGTCTTTACTTTTAATCACTGGTATACAGGTTTTAACATTTTCAATTTAAGATTTAATTAAAAGGTGATATGAACATATATTAATAAATTAAAAAACTACTACTAAACTTCTAATGAAATACTGCCCTTTCTACTCTCAACTCTTTTTCCAGAAACAACCATTTCCATCTCTTGATGCTCTCTGTCTTGTTTTCACTTTTATGTTTCTAAAAAAATATGTTTATGTTGCTATTTCCTGATTTTTAAATTTTGGACATTATCAATGTTTCTATAGTAAAGACAGAATAAACCTCTATATGACTCATGGAGCTCCAATTACTGTTTTAGCACATCTTATACCTAGAGCAATAATGATCATTTGCATGATTATGATTATTTAACATTTTTCACATTTGACCAATAAAATATGCCATGGTTATATGTTTTTATATATTTTTTTGTCTTTCCAGACTCGGTAGTTCTTCCTCACTATCCCTCTCTCTTTCAGATCTGTATTGCTAGCTTCTCTTCTCTGTCTTATGGAGCCATTGCCCCAGACGCCTGCCTAGCAAAGGCCTTCCCTTCGTCCCCAGTCCTGCAGAGCTTCCCCCTAATTTTCCATCCTAATTCGCCATTTCCACCCATCTCTCTATCCTGGCCAAGAGGACAGATATTCAAGACCTTAACTACTTTCCTTTAGTTGTTTTAAGTTTTACCTGCTGCTCATTAAGCTTTTTCTGTATTTCTTCTGAGTCACAGGAATCGTAGACGATGGGCTTGGCCAGCTCTGATTCGATGTGAGCCAGCCACGTCCTCAGGCTGCTCATGTTCTTATCCAGTTGCTGTACAGCGACCAGGGTCTCCTTCAGCTTCTTTACCCTGTGGGCAGAGAAGAGCAGACATCAGCTTCAATGAGAGGCCCCAGCAAGGTCCTTGTGCACAGAATTGAGTGCTCAGTCTAAAGCCAAAGCTACTTTTATTGGCTGTGTGACTTTGGGCAGCTGAACAATTCTTATGTCTCTGTTTCCTCATTACAAGGCAGAGCTGAAGTAAGAGTACTTGTGAGATGGAAATGAGTTGAATAATGCAGGGCAGATACGAGGCCCACCACTCTCCAGCCTTCTACCTGCAGAGCCCACGTCAGTACAGTGTTTGCTACAAGGTGTGCTTTAAAAATGTTTTCCACTCTTTCCAAGAAGGGGTAAAAACCCATTTGTTTAAGACTGCCATATAAATAAATAATCTTATGTGTAAGATGCCAGGAAGACAAAACAAATAAGACTTGACTACTTTCCCAATAAAATATACAATCTGACTGGAGATCTGGACAAGTAAACAATGAACATTAACACAGTGTGGTAAGAACTAAAGAAATGACTAAGTCTGGCTAATTAATAGTGATCAGTTCTGTCTGGCCACATGAGGTAATCATTCATTCACCACTTGTTCTTTCCTTATTCCTGCTGCAAACATTCACTGTGCTAGCTAGATGTGGTGCTAGGTGATGGGAATACAGTGACTTTAGACTTGATGAAAGGGGAAATGAAGGAAAAAACGTTTGAACTGCAGATTGAGAGGTGGATACAAACCAAGCAGAACATTTCTGGCTTAGGAAACATAGAGAAGAAAAGCAGAGGTTTGGAAGACAAATAGTGCCATAATGCCTGGGGCAGAGAGGATAGGAAGAGGAACAGGAGAGAGAGAGGACGTGATAGGAGATGAGGCTGATGGGTAGACAGCATAGACTTATAAAGACCCTGCAGTGACAAGAAAATGGGTTTGTAAGGCATTTTAAGGATAAATAGGAGCTTTGCCAAAATTTATTAGCAGAGGAATAAGATCAGTCCTGATTTTTGAGAATGTAAGTTTGAAGTGGGGCTGTTGTGGAAGCATTCAGGATGTAAATAGAATAGTCTAAGCAGCTTGCATCAGAAGCCCAGACTTGTGAAACGGGATAAAGGTGAGGATGGGGTGGCTGGATTCATGAGTTGTCATGACGTGAGGCACAGGAGTTAGAACTGACGTGTTTTCCTCAGGTGACTAGATGGATGCTGCTGCTCAGAGCACACAGGAGGAGCAGCAGGTTCTCGGGATAAGTGGTGCCTTAAGTCTGGTGAGTCTGAGGGATCAGGTAGACATGTGGGGAATGTGGTTCGTGGGTCTGGAGAAGATGGAGCTCCCTGCATTGGTTTTAGGTGCTGCTGGCATAGAGCTGAAGGCCTATGATGGGAAGTGTTTAACCCTGAAAGGAGGTGGACTAAGAAGAACAAATTTTAAAAGGCTGGTTAAGGAAAGGGGAATCACACACAAAGAAAAAACAATCAGAAAGGAAGCAGGTGAACAAGGGAAGTGCAGCATAAAGCTAAAGGCAGGAAAAGTTTCAAGAAGGAAGTGCTGGGAGGGGATAAGATTGATGTTGCTAAGGGTACAAATCTCAATGGGTAGTAAATAAGCCCTAGAGATCTAATGCATCTAACCTCATGCAACTAATGAATATGGATCTATTGTACAGCATATGAATATAGGTAATACTGCATTGTAATCATATAATGTGATAAATACTGCTTTAATGGCAATATTACCTGTAAATCTATCAAAGTAACAAGTGCACCTTAAGTTTATACAATATTACATGTCAAATATACTCAATAAAAAATCTTAAAAATGAAGGAAGCATTGGTCAAAGTGTGATCTGAATGCCCCATTATTAGATTAACCTGGTTTGCCTCATATAAATGCAGATTTGCAGATTCCAACACGGTCCTACTGAATCAGAACCTCTGGTGGTGCATCTTTAACAAGCACTCCAGGTAAGTCTTATGCACACTAAAGTTTGGGGACCACTGGTCTACTCTGTCAAATGCTGAGGCTTAAAGTGAGGACGCGCGATCTGGGACTTGGAAGGGAGTGAATAGAAACAGAAAACAGAATGCCTTTGGGTGAAGAAAAATACACGTATGGGAAGGGAGCGCTGTCCATTATTTTAAGAAACTTGGCAGTGAAGGTTGAGTACATGTAGTATGAAATCTGTAGAATGACCTGGTTATAAGGACAAGGTAATTTTTTTGTTTCTTTGTTCTAATGCACTTTAATACTTCAAATAGCTTTTAGAACGTTGTTAGTCAAAGAATAGGAACTCATGAGGAAGAGGCCAAAGGCAGAAGGAAAGGAGGAGGTGAATTACAGATGAACATAGGTGATGGAGCAAGGCTGCAGAGGAGGCGGGGCCAGGGCACAAGGGCGGGGACAGATACATTCGTTCTGCAAGGAGTTCTCCCAGGGAGGGCAGGCTGTGAACAGAAGTTTGGGAGGGACCCAGGTAGTGTCTCAGCTCCATTATTATCAAGAAATAGCAGCAAAAAAACCAATCAATTATTGGGTCCCTGGTGTGGGCCTTACATGGCTGATGAGTGCTCTAAAATGAAAGGTTATGGGGATGACAAGCACACGGTCAATGATTTCTGGCACAGCCCTTATTTAAAATTCAGTTTTGCGTTTAGACTATGAGTCCTGCTTTCTGGTTCAGAAACTGTGATCATCTTATTGACACTGCCCATGATATAGATAAATGGCAGATAAGCAAAATACTTCAATCTCAAGGTGTCAACGTGGCTCAGCTGAAGAGGTGTCTGCTTGAAAAAAAATGTCAAGTGCTACATGACTTCTAAAACTCTAGGGATGTGATATATCTCAAGGCAGACATCTGTAAGAGAATGTTCTCAAAGACTGACAATGTGCTCTCAGAGTCATCAAGTATTTCTGAGCTCTGTTGCTTTCAGAGAGTAGAGCAGTGATTCTCAAACTAGGACGACAGCAGTGTGGCTGTAGGGGTGCTTTCAAACCACACGTGCCCATGGCTCTCTTCCGACACCCCTGCCGCCCCTTCCCAGATGACGCTGATAGAATTCTCTGGTCAAGAGCCCCCGCTCTGAAGAGAATGTCTCATAACCAAAGGCTTTTGCATGTTTTTATTTATGCTTATTTGCTTAAAACTGATATCACCATTTCTTCTGCAGTTTCTACAAATCAGTGTTTCTCTCTCAAATGTAAATCAAGTCATGACACAATCATTTTTTCTCTTTGTCATACAAATGCTTTCAAAAAGATTTTCAGCACGGTCAGTTCTTAATAATGCCTATATTTCACTAATCACCATCATCATCATAGGAGTAATACCTATGTTTGAATAACCTTTTCACTTTGTAGAGGCACTTAGGTGCATTATCTTATATTATTTTGAAAAAAAAAGTGCATTTAAAAAATTATGTTTATATTCTGCCATAGATCCTACTGATAGGGAGCAGAAAACAAGTGTTGCAATATGTTTCTCATGACTCATAATTTCATTCAGGATAAGGCTTCTCTCATTAGCTTTATAAGTACAAATCGTACCTGTCCCCAGGGCATTTCGAAGTGTTGGCCTCGGACAATAATTCCAGGAACTTTCACATACAATCCACTCACACTTCTCTCATATATAAGACAAAACTCACTTGAGTGTCAGTCAGTGAGCGATAGCTTCAGAAAGGCTATTGTGTACAGAGTTCTTCTACCTGTATGTTCTACCAACAACCACGGCACAGTCTCAGAATTTAACATGGCCCTGGCCCTCCTGTGTGAGTGGCCGAGTCCAAAAGCACAGTCTGCAATCAATAAACCCACTGGAAGAGGACTAAAGAATGGCTCATTGCACTGAGATTGTCTGTCCTGGTTTTACCCCTGTAAGAATGTCCTCATGGGAACCTCTCCCACTTGACCAGCTCCCTGTCTTCAGATTTGGTAGGAGACAAAAAATGGGGTTTTCTGGCAACCTCATAATATCATCATCAGGGTTTAAAGTGGAGGTAGGGGCTGGAAGAATACCTCACTCAGTGCTTGCTTCTTTCTTACTCTTATTTTAACTTCCAGGTATTATTTATGCAGAAGTTCCTCTCTCCATGGTAAGCTCCTTGGGAAGCTAGACCTGTGACTTTCCACTTGTGGTTTTCCCTTTCCCCTGGTATGATAAGCTCGGTGCTTTGCATGAGCTTGGGCACTATTTAAATGTCTACTAAACATTAATAATTAGTATTCTAAGTACAATATTTTTACTTGGTTAACATGTTTTAATTTACTTCTAATTCAGTTGGTTGGTATTAAATGGATACTTCAATTTTCCTTTGCAAACGGCCTCTTTTCAAGGACTAAATTTCATTCATTTTCTTGGTTCAAAAATCACTTGCGAAAATGATCAAAAGAGCCAAGGCACAAAAGGACGCAAGTAAACACTGTTCAATGACATTATCCACACTAGACAAATAATTTACAGGATTAGTAATCTTGTATAATGTTGAACGAGCAGTTAGTGTGCAATATGTCAAGGGCATCGTGACATGGAAATGCTTGTTCATGTAGTCCATTAGGGACAAGTTCCTCTCTTAAGTGACTGTGCAAATTTAAGTAAAGTCAATGTGGGTGAACATTTAAGTGATTTTCCTTTCTCATTTTTTAAAAAGTGTATTTGACTACAAGTGTCAAAATACAATGCGTGTGTGTTGAGGAGAGAGCAGAGGTGAGCTGAGGGGAAGTGGGTAGAAAAGCTCCCATATATCTTCCTTGAGTCATGAAACTTAACATTTGCAGGACAAGGGCCATTCTTTTTTAAGAGAAATGTCCCCAATTTTTTCCATTACTTCTTTAAAGGAAATCCTTGGGTAAAGTGTCATGACATTTTTATTTACCTATCATCATAAGAAGTTTGAGCAACATTCCTTTGGGGACCAGCCAGGGTCATAATTCAAAATGGATGTTGACAGATGTTACAAGTCTGGGTAAGTTTAGCAAACATGATAAAAAAAACGTGTAAGTCCTGCAGCTTATCGTCCCTTTCACAGCTTATG